GGAGCAAGGTCATACAGAAAAAGTAGACTACTGTTGTCAACAATAAAAACGCATGGATCACGCTCTCTTCTGTAAAATTTCAGCGCTAATCATAAGAAACATGTTGGTCGGTTGTAGGACAACGCCAGACCGCGCTGGATCCCACAGACCCAGAACAACATTCGAGATCAAGAGTGAGAGCTTGTGTCCTATCCGCCCTATTTGCCTGACTGTACCCCAATGAATTATCATTTGTTGGGGTATTTGCTGAACTTCCCGGTGAAAATGAGAGTTCGGCCGCGCATCCGACAATCTGCACCATACGATCCACTGAAAGGTGAAGCAGCTACGGTGACTTGGCGTGGATCACCTTATTGTGAGAGTAAACTTGCGCAGTATTTGCCATACTCCCTCCTTCTCACCTGGAGCCGATGTCAGAGCAGGGTGGAGAATACCGTAGGCGAGGGAGGACGCAGGAGATTGGCACGGGTCTAACCTGCACCTATGCGTACCACCATACCCTCTGGCCCACAAAAACACCTGGCTAGAATTTTAACCAATAACAACAGCAGAAAAGACTTGGATGACTGGGCAGCCATAAATATCACTTTTGTACCCTACGGGAGGGCAAACGCACCGACTACCATAGAAACAGTTACCGAAGAACTGCCAGAGCACATCAGGCTACCAGGGCTGTGGTTTGCCGCTCAGTGCATACTATTTAAAATATTATTTATGTCAAAATTGGGCTCCAATAAGTCTTTGCATCAGAACAAATTTTGGGCGAGGTTTGCTCCGCAGCTTTTGCTGACTTCACAAATATCCCATATTTGAGTCTTCCTTACCATTTCAATCCAGCCGGTAACTGTGCCACGGGAGGAGAGGAGTGCTTTTAGGCCAGTCTCGGTTAATTCAGATATCATTCCACACTCGTTTCCCTCCGTGTGGTTTGAGACCTATTTGCGCTCTCTTTATCATTCTAATCCAGCGAGTGGCCAAGCAGACTCGCTAAAAGAAATGTTCCGACGGTGTGAAACACGATCGGCTCCACTCCAGTGGTCATGCGCAGCAAATTGTCGCGCGGCTCCCTCCGTGGCCTTCCAGTTGTGATTGCGTCCTCCTCATCCCCTACATCCAAGTAAATGGCTGTGCCGGGGAGAGAGTTTATACAAACCACCTTCGCTCGTTTCCTTGCGCGTGCTTCAAGCTCTGCTAGCGCACTCATCTCCCGCCTAATGCAGCGAGTGCCTAAGTTAGGTATGTTACCTTAAATTGTTTTAGTAAGCTGATCGTATGATATCAATCAAGTGGGGCTGAAGGACCAAATTTTGATTTATATGATTAAACTCTCGTTGTCCGGCGGGGCCTTGTAGCTCAGATGGTTAGAGCGCTGGCTGTACTAAAGCCCTTCCCTTTCAATCATGTATTCGAATCCCACTAGGGCACTGAGTTGTTCCCAGTTAGGTCAATACGAATTATGAAGAAAAGCTTGGCGGCTTAGTTTCAGACTAAGATGGTGATTATGTAAGGGTTTGAAACATACAATGTTTTTCCGGAAACCAGTTCTTTTGTCATTTATTACAAAATGCCACATAGCATTACCGTGTTCCTGATAGTAATGTCAGTCGCCCTGTTTGTCGGCTGCTCTAAGTCTAACTATCTTCCCCTGGGAAGCTGTAAGAGCAGTGCCCTCTCGTTAATTACGCCATATTATGTCTCGTAGTTTCCGAGTCCGCCTTTCGGAGAGATAAATTTTTGAGCCGGAGATGTCCTGGCTGCACTGATATACCAGTTCTCTAACTGAGCATTACTCAATCTAATAAAGGAAAAATATCTGTCTCGCTGAAAACAAAGCCTACTCTTGTCTAGCTTTGACGTTTAACTTTCCTTAGACATTACTGCGCTACCTTGGCGGGAATCTTACGGAAAAAACTTTTTTTAGAATCAGATTTGATCGGGCATCATCCACGGACAACCAATCTGCACCTTCGCTGCTTGGAAATACTACTTCGCTATCACAGTGGAGTTTGGCCAACATAATCACATCTAAGATCGTACTAAGCATAGAAAGCCTCATGTCGCAGGATTTGATGCATTAATCTCTGGGAGGATTAAAGACTCTTTAATTTCAAAACATCATAACGATCTTGCGTTGAAAGGGACTATGATTTCGTCCGACTGCGAGGTTAAAATGCTGGCCGGACCGAAATAGTCGAAAGACCTAGTGCAATCTTCAGTTTCGGATATATTTATTTTATTTTATTTTAAGTGCGGAAATGATGGAATCAAATGCAAAATCCTTTTCCTGTTAAATATAAACTGAAAGTGAGGTTGTTACAAATAAGACTACAACTGTTGTAAGATTATATGCGATTTGCAAATCAATATTCGATTTTTCAAGTTTCCAGATATGTCAAGAGGCCCGCGGATGGGTTTGAACCAGTTTATAGGTAGACGGAGTGGTCACAGACTGTGTGTTATGTAGGGAAATTTCGATAATCCTGCGACTTGAAGCAGTTCGTAAACGAAATTTTTTAACTCAATAAAAAGCATCTGCTAAACAGACTGAAAAAAATACTTGTTATTATAGTTGATCCAATAGTTCACCTGTAAATATCTTAAAAATTAGAAATCTCTTCATTCCGATTTTATTTAATTATAGCCATTTTACACTGGAGAGTAGTTTTGGAGATACTCCTATCGTTTCGTTTTAAACTACAGTTATTCTTCAAATATATGCATTAACCTTTTCAGCAACATTATTATTTACGATCATCATTAACAGGCAATGCCTTAAAGCTGGCGATAATTTAGTTTGGCGCTAACTCCATTTACATCAAAGTGAAGCTTGACGGAAAGTTATCATTTCAGATGGTCAGGCGAGATAAATTCACTCCAGAGCAGACTTGCCCTTTACATATTGGACCCAAATGGAGCTCACAGTGAATGAGGCTTTGTACTTTGTAAAATACGGCTCGCAATTAGAAGGCAGAACGCGCATATGGCCGACTAAAGTTTCTGGCACAATGTGGGTATGTTTGCTGTGAGATACGGCCATATATTAGGGCCGTTTCGATAGTCACAGTGCAATGAACCAACAAGTGGCCGTCTAGGCCAATGTGCAATCCGAAGTTAAGATGAACAAGTAGCCTGATACTCTGTCCAATCGATTAGCACTCTCCCAAATTACGGGATATGTTCAAGCGCGTCATCTTACTTACAATTAGGGATGCAGTGGTGGACTGTAAATATGCTTTGTCCTGTGTCGACCTAACTTTTCTCTCTCCTATGGATCGGCTGGCTATCCAATCCTGTCAGGCAACTGATGATGAGATTGAACGCAGTGAAATGCGGTCAAAATGCAGGTTGGAGCTAATTTCACAAGATGGGGGAGGGTTGAAGGATAAGTTTATTTCCGCGACGTTTACAATACCTCCAACATTGCCGAGACGCTGACATTGGCACAATGTCGAGAAAGCGGACCAAATGACATTGAACGACCTCGACAAGCGTTCTGAACGTTTGCTTACAATGCAGGTATGCCCATAAGTGCTGGGTGTTTGGTGCTTTGATTAGGCAAATTATACATTTGAACCAGTTTCGTACTGCCTTGATTGCTTTCAGATTATGGGTTTTAAGAATTGCAGCCCATGCAGTAATGTGTTATATGTGTGTGGCTTGCGAATGAGGTCGGCCCAAACCACAGGACTGCTTAAAGGGTTTCTGAAGGATGTCTAAAGGGCGTCCTTGTAACGCAAGTTTGTTGGCTGTTCTGCGAGCATGCATAGCGACCTCACCGTAATGCAGTCGCTTGGGCAATTGTTAATCGACTGTTATCGTAGAATTTTCTCTTCAGCGCCGTTATATATGCCTCAGATTGACTTTATACTAAAACGATAGTTTTTTCAGTACTTTCATGTGGCATTCCTGTTTTGTAACCTCACTTATTGCATTTCGCTGACGCTTCATATATTTTCGGTTTTTGTTCATTTAAGGGATTTGATGAGACTAAAGTGAGTTCTGTAAACGACCGAAATGTTGTGCAACTTTAGTCGGTTAGATCGCAGTTGGTAGCCAGGAATGAAAATGCGGACAGCCAGGTCCGCGTCGTACGGGAATGGTGGGAAAGGGAGCTATAAGGGTGGGGTAAATAGAAGGGCTTGTAGAGGAATGCTGTAGTTTCTGGGAAAAAGTAAAGTTAACAGGGAAATTGCTGGGAAGGTTTGTTTTGGTGAAATAATGACATAAATTTAAACCCTACGCATAAACCTTAAATTCAACCCTAAACGCAACCGTAAAGGCGAACCCTAACACTCAAAACCGTAACGTAGCCAAATCCCACAACCCAACGCTAATCCAAAACCCAGACACAACCCTAACCGTAACAGAAGATGAAGATGCCATCATTGGAACAAGAAGTTTATTTGCCTGACGTTTCGGATTCTCACTCGAATCCATCATCAGAGACATTCGCAGATAGAGGTGAAGGTGGCACCAGGAGTGCAGTATTTATAGCACGTGGCTGCGGTGGGACCGTATGCACACTGCAATTAACAATTAAAATTAACAATCAACAAGCCAAAAGCTTGTTGGAGGATCGTCAGTCCTATGTCCCATGCGAATCCAACCCCATAAAAACGCTGACACGCGAGATTAACGCGACGCTGTTGGCAATGGAGTACTCAGGTGCAATATCGCCAATCGACCGACGCATGGCGAGAGCACAAGAAACGGCCCTAGCCCGATTCTACGGTCTCTCAAAAGTGCACAAAGAAGACGCTCCTCTCCGGCCTATCGTATCGCTAAAGAGCATACCAAACTACGGACTGGCAAAGTGACTGTTCCAACGTCTCAAGTTTCTGCCTTCCGATTCGAATACTACAGTCAGCACGTCAACGCAATTCTTGGAGAAATTTAAAGGAGTACGTCTCCTGCCAAGCGATATCATGGTCTCCTTTGATGTCATGTCCCTTTTTACTTCTATCCCGCAGGACCTGGCAGTCGAGAACATCGAACTGGTCCTACGAGAGAAATAAGACGAAACGGAGAATCGCCTCGGGCACGCCAAAATCATCCAGCTCCTGAAGTTCGGTCTCAAGACGTACTTTTCGTTCGACGGAACAGTCTACGAGCAGGTGAAGGGAACGCCAATGGGTTCGCCGATTTCGGGACTCATAGCCGAGGCGGTCCTTCAACGACTGGAGTCGCTGCTTTTCCGACACCATAGACCGAAATTCTGGGCTCGGTATGTGGATGACACCTTCGTCGTCATCGAACGGAATCAGGTGCTGACATTCAAAGAACAACTCAACGCCGTCTTCCCGGACATTCAATTTACGATGGGGGAGGAGGAAAACAATCAGCTGGCTCTCCTGGATGTCCTCGTCTGCCGCAAAGATTGTGGTGGCCTAAAAACCAAAGTGTTCAGGAAAGCGACAAATACTACGCAAATACTGAAATTCAATAGCAACCACCCGATCAGTCACAAACGCACTTGCGTAAGGGCGCTATACCGGCGCATTGAGACGCACTGCAGTGAAATGGAAGACAAGGTTGCTGGATTTCAATATCTTCGACGGGTAATGAGAGCCGATGGCTACCCGCGCAACTTTGTCAACCAGTGCATACGAAAAGGACACCAGAGACCAAATCCAAATAAACACAAATTTTGGCGGGCTCTTCCGTACGTGAAGAACGTCTCGGAAGCCGTCAGTCGTCTTCTCACTCCACTTGGAGTTGGGGTTGCACACAGGCCGGAAACAACCATTAGGCGCCAAGTAATGAGGCCAAAAGACCCGCTGCCACGGCAGGAAACGTCTGGAGTCGTTTACCGGATTTGGTGTAGTTGCGGACAGAGCAATCATGTCGGAGATACTGGGAGATTACTCCGTACGCGACTTGCCGAGCACGCAGCAGCAGTGAGGCGGGGAGACGCTAACTCTCAGGTGGCGGCACACTCGACGGGACCCGGCCATAATTTCAAATTTCAAGAGGCCGAAATCCTCGCAAGGGGTGACAACCGCGTGAGCCGCGAGCTGCCCGAGTCGTGGTTCTCAGGCCCGCAATCCATCAACAAACACAATGACCTCCCGGTACCCTATTCCGTATTGCGATTTTCCCTGGACAGGAGAATCAGTCACGTAGGGAGGGCGCGGGTGAGCAATTATCACGGTGACAGTGAGCCAGTTTGCCGAGCAATCGTCACACCAGCATCGAGCACGGATGACGAAATCGCGGCAATTAACAACTCGGACTCGGACCGCCAAGCCACCGCCGATCAATTACAACCCCAGCGGCGATTGCGAGAACTGTTAATTTCAGTGCGCATAAGGTCCCACGGCAGCCACGTGCTATAAATACTGCACTCCTGGTGCCACCTTCACCTCTATCTGCGAATGTCTCTGATGATGGATTCGAGTGAGAATCCGAAACGTCAGGCAAATAAACTTCTTGTTCCAGTGATCGCATCTTCATCTTCTGAACTTCTACCTGGAACTCGCCTGTTCGCTTCTATCACCTGATCGTAACCTCGGCCGAAAACCTAAACTTTACCCTAACCCAACCATAATCCTAACCCTTACCTTAACTCTACCCCTAACCTCAACCGTAACCCTAACGGGAACCGGAACCCTAACCGTAACACTGAAACCTGACCCTTAATCGCAAACCTTAATCCGAAAACTGAACCTACGCCTAACCCTAAACCTCGCTTAACCCAATAGCCTGACCGCAACGGGCAACCTGCCTAACTCAGTAAGAGCACACCCTCTGATAACAAGTTCCCTAGACAAGGTAAGCCTACCTACTGATAAGAAATGCGTACGTCCACAGTACCACCGTATAATGTCTGGCTACCAACTGCGATATTACCCTTTAGACATCGGGTGGATCGTTTCGATGTCCATCATTATAATTCTAGAAACTGCACTTCCGGGTGGTTCTCTTCCTATTGATTCGGATGCGTTCTACTTAACAGACGGTTCTGTTTGATACCTACTACCGCCTTCTTCGTGTCGACGATCAGTCAAAAGTCTGCGCAGTCGAACGCGAATATTCCCTTGCTCCTCTGGACATCTGCCTTCCATGAGATCACGAGGACTGAAAAGGGAGACTCATGCGGTTGGCTACATACGTAGGGTCGTGAGCAATTATTCGGTATTTTGGTAGACAAGGTTTATGCCCTACCACTCCTGTCGATAATTGACTCTCAGAATGGCAGATGATGGGAGACTGAAGAGGGTGACAACGAGTAAGTAACCTTACTTCACTTATTTTGTCAATGCGAGCGCTCCCAAACCTTGCTCTTTTTCTGTGACGCAAGTCGCACTCTGTCAGTGTGCGCGAGAGAGGCCCTCCAGAGCATTGGATTGATTAAAATTCCACAGTAGGCTTTTTTCTTATAAGCAATGACGCTGATTTTCACGTGGAGACGCAGGTTCAATGTTCACGCGGTTGTCCCCCCACCCTCCGGAGGATTTCGATCTTATTAACCTTATAGGCGTGGCCGAGTCCCGTCGAATTAGCGACGATCGGGGAGAAAGCGTCATTCCCTTCCCCCTCACTGTTGCTGCCTGTTCGGCCATTGGCGTTCGGAGTAGTCTTCCAGTCTTTCCGGCGTATCTGCTCTGTCCGCAACTGCATAAGACCTTGTAACCGAGTCCACACGCTTCCTCCCGTGGCAACGGGTGTTTCGGCCTCATGAATTGGCACAAGGTGATTGCCTCGGTTTGTGTGCAACTCAAACACACAGTGTTGTGAGGAGGCGACTGACGGCTTCCGAGACCTTTTCGCGTACGGCAGCACTCGCCGAATTTCGGAGCCGATTGAAGTTTTTCGACGTACTGTTTATGTATGCAGGGGCCAAAAAATACGCGGATATCTTTTCGCTCGTCGTAACCGTCGGATATATTAGCATTCAGCAACCTTGTATTTTGATTCCCTGTAATGCATCTCGAAGCGTCGATATGGCGCTATTACGCAACGGAGTTTTTAGCTGATTAGTTAGTTCCTGATGAAGTCTTGTGCGTGCGTCATATGAGTCGCCTTTCTTAACGCGTTAGTTTTAAGACCAACACAATCTTTTCGGCAGGCAAGGAGGTCCACGAAGACGAACTAGTTGTTCCTTTCCTCCTCAACCGTAAATTGTATGTGCCGGAAGATAGAGTTCGGTTGTTGGTTGAATTCCAGCATCCAAAACCCAACGATTCAAAATCAAATAATTCGATAAATATTGCTAGCTTTAGCTGTGTGTCTTTTTGAATGATGTTTAGATTGGTGGAGAACTATTTTGCGTGCATTTTAACTCTGACTGTAAGTAATGAGTCACCTTATTGTCTTGTCTGTTTGGGATGTCTGGCTCGGTAATAACCTTTCCTATGACCCCAGTGCTAATATTTTTTGTATTTAAGATTTTTACGGTGGGGTCAGTATTAGTGAAAACATTTAATTACATTGTGAAGTTTAACATTTAACCAACATCAGTGATCATCGACATGGCGTCTTTGGTGCCTTTCACATTCCTTTCTCTTCTTTTAACCAAATCTTATCCCATAATGTCATTTAGCCTCAGTCATCCTTTTGTTGCCCTGCAAGCAAGTGATGTTAGTGCATCGTTGCCCATTTTCAAATGTGCTGTAAAACGAATGAAGTTGTTTAAATTTCTCCGCCGGCACATACGAACTATTTTATCTGCTTTCTTCCTGCGCGTTTCCACACTGCCCAAATTTACAAGTTAATATTTCTGCATTTAATACAGTTCCGGTTTTCGGAATCACTTTGTTATTGCCTGCTTGTATTTACCCGATTTTAACTCACATATTGCGTGCTGGGATATGTGGTTATCATTCGTTAATTATAATCACCGACTCAATTGAATCTGCCGTGATATTTAGTACCCCTACGCCATATATATTAACCAATACGGAAGCTAGGTCATCGAGTAAGTAATATTATCCGAAAAGTGACGTCCAAATTAACAAAATGTTTAAATGACTCTAGATAGGACCAGGATAATTACCACATTGCAAGGTAAGTGGTACCAGGACTGGAACATGGCGATGGCAGGGAGTATTTCAGCATAACTGTTGTGGCGTCCTTGTTATTCATACGTTCTTTTTGAATCAGTGACAGCCATTTGGTTAGTGTAAAAAGTGTTTCGGCAAGGTATTGTTTTTTGATCCGATAATTCGCGGGCCTGTCTTCACAAAAACGTACATATGTGCCTGTTACGCAGATTTCTTTAAATCTGTGACAGTGGGGTTATAATGTCCAAATTGTAGATGGTCCCAGTTCCGCAGAGGAAGATATGCGGAATTCGAAGTAGTTTGCTTGATGTTAATACAAACGATAGTGCATACGTGAGCAAAGGCCGGTACGCTGTGCCTTGTGTTAGCTAATGCAGTCTTCTGTTTTATGATTTAACTGTCAGAGTGCACATCGCAACAGACTCAAATTACAGATGCGACTGGCATATTTTAAGTATTGTTGTTAGCTTCCAATGCCAAATGGAATTTACCGCGGTCAATTAACGCCTTTGAGGAGGCAGCAAACACACCACAGTTGCACGTTATTTCATATATCACGCAAACATACGTGTTCTTAGGCTCGTCTGTGGAGTATGATCACAAATCCGTCATCAAATATAATGGTGATTTTGTTAGAAAGAAAAATATAACGGCTGTGACGCCGTTTGTACTCTGCGACAGTGTGAGCTGCGCCACCTGGCTGCCTGGATGGAGCCCGTGATAACACGCAGGCAAATCGATGTGTTTCCGACACCCACGCTTCCAACAGTTCCCGCATTGTCTTGATGCCGGCTCGCTCCAATATCCGCGTTTTGGCGACGTCGAACTCATGTGTATATATTTATGAATGGTAGAAGACGTACACCGATCGTTCTTATGAACCTCACTGGTTTTCTTGTGCCTTATGGACGCTCTCTAGTGCCCAGCCAGCAGCCGCACAGCGGCACAACGGAAAGAGTAAGTTCCGTAAGAACGATCGATTAGCGCCCCCCTACCATTGTATATTCCCGATCGAAAACCGACCGGGCAATGGGCTCGTGGCTCAGTGGTTAGAGGCGTGGACGTCTAACAAAAAGGTCGCTTGTTCGAGCATCGGGTGTGCCACTTTCGGGATTGGGTATGACTGGCTGACGACGGCTAATAAGCCAGAAATGGCTATTTCAGTCTCCCTTTTCTTTGTCGGTAATATCATTCCGCCTATATTTATGAATATATATTCCGAGGGAATCAGCTGCTTGGGAAGGATCAATATGTTTAATTGTAAGTTTTTGACTTTGGTTCCCCAATTCGTCCTTAGACGGGAAGTAAGTATGCAGAACAAATAACATTTAAACCTGCATAAAAATGGAGTTTGCCCTGTCACTCCTGCTACCGTAGTGTTCTGATTCGTCAATGCCTTTTCCACATCTCCTTGACACTGTTGTACACCGAATCCAATTCTTCACGTCGGTTGATGTATGCGTTATCAGAATAGTTGGCCTCCAAAAATTCACGGCCCTTTTAGAGGAGCCGACACTTGAAATGCCAGTCCTGTGTCAGGCGAATTTGTGTCCAGTTGCCAGCGTATGCATGATAACTTAGGACAAGTGGTTTCGCCTTTTACGGCCAACTGATGTTCGTGTGTTCCTTTAGAGACCGATTTCCTAGTTTGACCGCAGTAAGCCACATTACAGGTGTCGCATGGGATCTTATAGACGAATTCCTTCTTATCTAAATAGCCAATCCTATCCTTGGATTATGCAAACTGTTTACGAAGTGTAGTCGTCGGCTTGTGCGACACATTAATTCGGTGCTTCCTCAGGTGTCTTTCAACTAGTCGGGGCACATACTTAATGAACGGAAGTATTCGCCAGTTTTTTGCTTTGAGCGCCTGATCGAAATAATCTACTCTTTTTCTTTTAAGTCCTGTCGCCTTATTCATCGGTGCACAAAATATCTAGGGTACCCATTCTGGGAAAACAGCTTGAACAAATAGTTTAGTTCCGTTTGATAGGTTTCGTTGTCAGAGCAGTGAGTTAATGAGGCTGCTTACGTCACTCCGTTTGCGGACTAAAATACAGGGCAAGTACTCTCAGCCATCCGCTCAAAAAATCCAAGGTCATGAAGTAAATGCTGATGTAAATGCTCTACCACTAGATGTGGTTGCCCTGGTTGCCTCAATACCTATTGTCCATTCGATGACAGGCATTGGCAAAACGTTAGGAGTGTCACATGGCTCGCCAGTTCCGAAGATACACGAAGAGCTAGTCTTACGACGACTATAAGAGGATGCTGCCGAAGTGTTTTAGCCATAAATGCTGCTCACATACGTAGATGACACTATTGTTGCCATAAAGACTTGCAACGTTGAGCACCTTTACCAGAACCTGAACTGCGCCTTCACAGAAGAGGCAAGGGGATCAACCCTTCCGTTTCCAGACGTGAGTTTACACAGACTTCAATGCGGCCTCGAGGCAAGCATCCGCCGGAAGAATTCTTACAACTAAATAATCCCTAACCATGCGAGCAACCACCCTGCGGCCTACGAGGTGTGTTCGAATACCTGGTCAGCTTTGGGAAAAACGGTCTCATACGCCATAGACAACCACAATGTTCTTAATCCAAATTAGACAATAAGTCGTGTAACTTCGGCTACTTGCCCTATATGCCAAGAATTTCTGTAGCTATTGCCCAACTATCAAATCAGCAGGACATCCGCATTCACCACCTTTTGGCCTCCGCAATGGCCACAGCAGTATTTCCAGTAGTAGACCCCATACCCAAGGAGCGGCTGACAGATGTCATTGACCACATCCCACGTTTTAACTGCCCTTCCGTTTTTTCGGCCATACCGGCCGACAACTTGAAACCCACATTGATGGACGCAAGCTGGACATCCGCCGACGAGATCCTTTGGCCCTTCTGCTTGCGCACGACCTCGACTGCGATCCTCGTTTCGGTTGGAAAGGAATTGGAGTGATCTCCAGGACGCGAAAATTTTTAGAAGTTTCACACTCCAGCACAAACACCATCCACCGCCAAGGCCATATGATCACTCATAACCCGGCTGGGCGTTCGCGACTCAATGACTTTCGCCCACCCTAACTCAACGCCTGCCTTTCCATGCTTAACTAGGTAGAGTAGGACCGAATCTCCACTTCCCAATATTGTTAGCGACAACTGAAAGTCTAATACCTCCAGCTTTCCACCCCAACCCACATGAGCGTCTGTCTGTCGACCTAACGTTTTGTGCCAATTTTTCACTCTCCACTATTCACTTTGTCTGATAATAAAACCTTTCGAGTGCAAATCGATTTTCCGACGAGTTTTGTCCTCTTTTCATACCATCTCGGAGCGTAAACAACCTCCGGAAGTTTGTTAAGCTGTACTAGAAGTCCAAATAATAATCATACTTCAAATATATCAAATAAAGACGAAAATATTGGCTCACTAATCCGTTCCTAGATCTCAGTGTAATTATTTCTTAACACTTGGTTACATTGCCGCCGTGCCGCATGCTGGATATAAGAATATTTTGGACAAGGTACGTTTTCGTAGAAGTGACCTTTTAATGATTTAGTGAACTGTGGCATTTTCAAAATTCTGTAGTCAGTGGTGTACGAAATGCGCATAAGCGTATATGCTCTAAGAATTTGTCGGAAAGCTTCCGGAAATTCCCTAACACCGATGTCATTGACAGATCTAATGGAGAGAAGTACAAGCTGAAAATACCAAAGTTTCGGGTTGACAACCAAGCATTCCTAAAGTGCAATCTGCAAACTTGTTCAGTTTGGGTGAGGTTCTAGTGTACGTCGAACTGCCGTATGGGTACGTCTTGTTATGTACTGCAAGGGTGTAGCGTATAGTCCACCAGCGAATTCAAAATCATGCTCATATTAATTTTAGGGCGCCATTAAATGCGTTTGAAAACCTTAACAGTACATGTTGGCCAAGATTTTTTGCATAAAGTGCAAAGGTATTTTTGGTGGACCTGACTTGCATAGCCCTCCAAACAGGACGCGAGAACAGGAACCATTAGAAAAACGGATGAATGTTACTTAGCTCCCAGTGAATTTACGGTTAGGCTAAGAATTAGGTTAAAGGCTAGGATTGGATTTATCAGTAAGGTGAGTCAGGATAAAGTCAAGAATTAAGGTAGGGGCTACTGTTACCTGCAGATTTGGAGTTTGGAGTACGATTAGGTTTAAGACTAGGGCGACGGTTTAGTTTTATATTAGGGGTATTGCTAGGGTTAGGAAATCGGAAAATTTTGCCCCTTCCGGAATTGTGCTTAAGTTCATTTTTATTACACGGACCAGACGTGTTTATCCCCATTATCAAATAAGGGATTTATATAAGTCAATTCCACCGCATTTTTAAACATTAGAATATGATGATGTATAGGCCAAAGGTAGCAAATAGCGCATGTAATGCAAAGTCGTTCGGGTTTCAGGCAGCGTTTAGAAGTCACGTTAAGTTTGCGTTATCATCATTCGGAGAAATCGGACTGCACGCCGCATTGCAAAGGATCCTGAGGTTAGATCTGTCTGGAGTCACTTTTTCCTAATATTAACGCTGAATAGAATTGTTTCTGACTCGCTAAAAACGCTTAGTAACTGGAAAAGTTAAAATATGGCTATGGTCTCCCACCTGTTGAACACAATACTGTTGGGGTTGGGGATAAGGGTTAGGGCAACTATTTCTCGACTACTCAAAGTATAGCTATGCGCTCCCAATAGTTTTTCTTTTGCTTGAAACTACTTGATCTCGCCGTCTCTGCTTTCCCCGGCCCCACCTGCAGAAACCCTTATCAACACCGGTCGCGTGTTACAGGTGGCTGGGATTTGTTAACTTCAGTAAAGACTTCATAACAGCATCTAACCGCTCATGTAACAGATAAGAAACCACGTTTCGAAACTTGGGGTAGGGAGTTCACATATTAAGGACCATTCCCAGATATTACCTTCCTGCCCTCCCCGCTCAGAACCCAGCATGACTCCCTACCCGCATTCCTCCTCACACGCTATTGGTCCGCCCGTCAATGTTTGTCCTGTCTCGTCTACTAGTTTAGTGTGACTATCTCAGTCTCTCTTTTCTCCTCATCTCGTCTGACGACGGGTTGGTGCCACCAATTCGAAAATTCACGAGTACAACTCGATTTTTTCCGAAGAACCTCCTTCCTTTTCATTATATCGTCTCGGAATGCCTACGACTTCTACTCTACAACATATATGGGCGTCAAACGCTTATCCTTACGAGATGTTGGGAGAAATTCGCACAGAGACAGGCGACGACGTTCGAACAATTGACCTTCCTCCACCGTTGTCGCGATCACGGCGTGTTACAGAAGTCTCTTCTTTTCAAACCAACGCTGTCTACTGAGACTGGGAGATCCCTTGCGTACAAATATGGATGGCGCGTTCTGGGGGCTATAATATCTGACGTCCACAATCGACTTCGCAGATTCGAAACCACTCTTGCTGACCTTAAAAATCAGTGTGCTTCAGCCTTACCTGAAAACGTACTCGAGGAGGTGCAACAACGAATTAATGCAACAGTGAAGGATGCGAGATTGAAGAAGAGAGTTGATCTCCAGATGAAACTCCAGTCTCTGCTCCGCCCCATGAATGAAATAAGTATGGTCACGGGAATTGTTAAACTCTCTAAAAGGGATCTCCTGCCGGCTGAAATCAACCTCCTGTCTAAGGGAATAGGATTTAATCCTACGGATGCTTCACCTACCAACTTTCTAGCTGGTCTCGAATTCATTCTACTGACCTCCGTCCTACCTGAAGACAAGCGCGCTGACATACTCAGCTGTGCCACTGGTATCCTCCGGCAAAAAGGCACCAGCAAACTCTATCGGCCGAAGAAGCGCAAAGATTGCGAACACTGAAATCGGACCACGGTATTGTTGTTATTCCCGCCGACAAAGGTGGCGCTACCGTCATCATGGACAAAACTGACTACGTCAACAAGGCGAATATAATCTTCAGTGACACGGATTCTTATACCATTCTCACCGAAGACCCAACGAAAAATCAAGCCGCAGCCATCAAGAAAATGGTCAATGAGCTTGCTCGTCTGAAAGTCATAGGTCCAGATGACTCAAAATTTATGACCCTCAGTGATCCCCATGTCGCACACGCATACGGTCTCCCAAAGGTTCACAAAATTGGTGCCCCACTGAGGATTATAGTACCGCTCATCGGATCCCCTACCTACAACTTAGCCAAGTGGCTGTACAAGCATCTAAAGCCGCTAACTCACGGATCTCGCTACAGCATTAACAGCTCCCACGAATTCCTCAACCGGATCGATGGTCTCAATGTAAGCACTGATGAATGCTTCTTGTCTTTTGACGTCGTTGCCTTGTTTGCTTCTATACCACACGATTTGGCAATTGACTGCGTAGCCCAACGGTTACAGGACAATCCTATTGGTATCCCAGCGCAGCGAGTTATAGAACTCCTTAAACTCCGTCTTAAGAACTATTGCAAGTTCGACAATAAGTACTACCAACAGGTGAAGGGATGTCAAATGGGCTCCCCAATATCCGGTCTACTCGCAGAACTAGTGCTACAGCAACTAGAACATGAGGTTTTTCAAACTGTCAACCCCAAAATGTGGCTGCGCTAGGTCGACGACACCTTTGTCGTAATAAAGAACCGCGAAGTCGAAAGGCTACATCAAAGGCTGAATAATGTCTTTCCGGCCATACATTTCACCCGCGAAGAGGCAGCAGGAGACAGTCTGTCGATTTTGGACGTAAAAATACAAAGGATGGACGACGGTAACCTCGCAACCAGCGTCCATAGAAAAGGGTCTGATTCTGAGATCATCCTCAATTATGGAAGCAATCACCCTGCGGCTCACAAAAGAAGCTGCGTCCGAACTCTCTTCCACCGGGCCTACCGTTATTGCAGCAATAACGATCTGCTGAAGAAAGAACTAGGTTATCTATATCGGATATTTCGATCTAACGGGTACCCAGTCAGTTTTGTGAAGAACTGCCTCAGGCGTCAGGCACAACCTCGAGGCCCCTCGTCAGATGGAGAAACCGTGACCCAGAATTTCTTCTCCCTGCCCTATATGCAGGGGACCTCCGAAATGATCGCCCGTCAACTAAATCAGTTCGGTATCCGCGTCTCCCACAAACCTGCATCCTCGCTGCGCACAGTCTTAACTTGAGTAAAGGATTCTATCCCAAAAGAGGACCAGACTAACGTCATCTATCGCATCCCGTGGGCCAATTGTCCCTGCGTATATGTTGGTCATACAGGACGACGCCTGGGAACTCGTATTAATGAACACAAACTAGCTGTCCGTCGCCGTGATCCACTGTCCCTCGTCTTTGCACACACACTCCAGTGCGACCACCATTTTAATTGGGATAACACCGAGGTCATCGCCCCGGCCAACACAAAACGGGCGAGAGAATTCCTAGAGGCATGGCACTATAACGCGGACAGCACCAACCGCCACGTCGACCTTGACGCCCATTATGAGGGCCTAAGATCACGCCTCAATAAGCCGATCCCCGCTCCGCATCAGCAGCCGCTAATTCAGGCGCCCGCAGTTCTGCCAACCTACCATTCTCCCTCCCCTCCAACACGGGGAGCCGTAACGGTTCCCCCCCCCCACCTTCCTGCCCTCCCCGCACAGAACCCAGCATGACTCCCTACCCGCATCCCTCCTCACACGCTAATGGTCCGCCCGTCAATGTTTGTCCTGTCTCGTCTACTAGTCTAGTGTGACTATCTCAGTCTCCCTTTTCTCCTCATCTCGTCTGACGACGGGTTGGTGCCACCAATTCGAAAATTCACGAGTACAACTCGATTTTTTCCGAAGAACCTCCTTCCTTTTCATTACTAAATATCACTAATTCATAGGCTCTTTTTAAGTTCAAAACGATTATGTGGTCAAATGTCGTACCCCAATCTTTACGCTTTCCAGCAATTTTAGAATTGTTTGGGCAAATTCAGTTTGAATCCCTCGGATACAGCCACAGACATATTTGGAATAGGATGTCCAACTGACATGATTACGTACTGTTTCGACTTTTTACCTGTCTTTCAGCGTTCTTATTCAAACGATGTCCAGCCTTGAGTACGCAGGTTCTTGCAAGCACGGAAGTGAAAAATCCAATATAGGAGGAAACGTTTCATTGTTTTTTGGATAATAAACCCGCCCCAACCCTTGCAATCAATGGCAGTTCCACTTTTAAACTGATTGCTGAAAATAATGGGAGGTACCAGGTTGCGGCGTAAATAAATTCCGTTGCCATACGGATCAAGGTTCTAGGCATATCTGACGCCGGCTCATATTACATCGAATAAAACGAAGGGGGTCGTGAGCGGTTATGCGTACAACAAGCACATCAAACGGAAGCCAAAGTCATGTCCTGTAGCAAATAAATGAAGCATTTGCAACAGAGTGATTATTGGAGCACATAAAGGTCGGGTTGAACTAACTGTTCGGGGAAACGAAAGTGCCTATATGAGCACGTACTCCGACAACGCTAAGGATTTGTAAGTTTGCTTGGATAACGTTGAAATAGGTCCTAACGGTGACTTTCTACGTATCTGGAAAACCAGCTAAATATTGAATGCCGAGAAAAGTCTTTCAGAATGATTGCCAGGATGCTGTATCAGGACGTTTATTTTGTCTACTTGATCAAACGCCGCTTAATCAATACGAAGGAAATGTCGGTGCGATATGGTTATGTAGTCCCATTTGATGGACACAATATCGTTGGGGTTAGGGTTAGGGGTTAAAACTAGGATTTAGGACAAGTAGTTTTCAACCACTTAAAGTAAAACCCCGCATTCTCAACAGTTTATCTTTGCATGCATTTACTTGACCTCGTTGCCTGTGTGTTCCCCGGCTTCATCTGTGAAAACTTCTATTACCACCGGTCCCGTATTACAGGTTGGTGGTGTTTTGTTTACTTCAAGTGTATCTACACACCCACATCTGACTGAACAGTCTATTTAGTGTCTGATTGTGGGAGCAGTACGTAAACCTAACGCTATGTTGTATCTAGAGAGACTTGTGCCCGATTTAAAACAGGCACACTACAAGTTGTCGTAACTAAAGGCATTCTACTAACGAATACGGAGGTGTTTCGTCTTGCTTGTTGTTTCTTTGTTCATTATGACAATAATGGGGGGGGGGTTGTAACATCTCACTCGTTATGCCACGGACGCAGCTGTGTGCGTGTATTATACAGAAGTGCAGGAACGCACTGAAGCAGCCCAGACAACAAATGGTCGGAACTACGCTATCTTAAGGGTCTATTCATGGCCACAGAGTAACCTCGCAACTTCATAGAACGCATCAGGCAGTTTGGATCATAGAAACGTCCGGTGACAGAAGGGCCAGAAATCTGTCGAGTGCTTCTCTGAGGTTGTCTCCCGTCTCCGAAGAACTCTGGGGATCGCCATTATCCATCAGCTAGCATCACAACTTCGGTATTTGATAATGAGACCTAAGCAGCCCTACGTCATTTGACGAATCTAACGCAACTCCTAAGAAATGAAATATACTGGAGAAACCGGCAAACGATTGCAAACCAGTGTCTCTCGTGACAGAACACCGCTTATACCTTGGACGCACGTGCGCCTTTCAGAATGCCAAGTTCTAAATCGAGGAAATGACCGCATAACTAGGAAAACAATCCAGGCCCGACACATTAGCGCGAATTCCATCAAATGCTCTGTGGCACTGCCCGATGCCTAAAAGGCCCCTAGTTCAGTGAACTCTTCCAATCTTAAAAATGTTTTTACGTCCTGACCAGAAAAATTTCTCGGTGGACTTTGATTGAAAATTTAATTCTTTAAAGTTATATGAAGCAGAAACGAAGGGTTTTATTCCTATTTTAGGCTCCTGTAATTATGGTTATGCATCACTCTACAAAACGAGCTTTCGTCTCTAATGCTTCCAGTAAGTGTACTCTGGGCTGAACAGGAAATGCTCTCGTTTTGAGGTATGTTGATATGGTGCAGGATGTGGGCCGTGTACTTGTGTTCTCCGCCTGCCTTCTCAGAGTGGAACCTGGATATTTTCTTCCGGAAAGAAAAGATAGATATTTGCAGTCTTATTTCATAGAGATGATTTTGCATGTTTCTGGTTGCCACTAGGTCACTTTCCAATACCACAGATGACTTCGTGAACGCCTTAAAATATTTCTAAATTGGCTAGCCTATTAGCTGCTCTGTTCTTAATTTATGACGTTTATCGTTATATTAATTTTCCATATGGTTAAATTAATTAATTCCAACGAGGGTTTTTTTGAATCCGTTTTGCTTAATTTCGGAGGGGGACAAGTTAGGAGGAAGGTGGGATAGGTTGATATTACTTTTTTATTTAACTGTTTTCCACAGTACGCTCTCCGCTTCCGGGATTCATATTATTTCTAACAAATATTAAGGTTTCTGCAAAAATACAGTGTGATTAGTGTACCTTAAACGCTTGACCCGCTTCTCATGCTTCCTGCCCAGATGCTACTGAAATGTCGAATACATCTGTATTGCCGAAATAGCAAAATGGTAATTCTACATCCTTTCACTTGGCAAATTCTGTGGCTATTGAATATATAGGAAACACCAGTTATTCGTTTGAGCAGCGATCATCTTACAAAAATTTCCCTGGACGTTTTCTAAAACTCTGATATGAACGGGCAAATCAATCACGAGCGCAGAAGACACGATACTCTGTAGGCTGATTCAGCAGAATTTACAATTGCGGAGTTGTATGTCCTGTATTGTTCCGCTCTTGTCCTGTAACAAAATTTTTGAGCAGTCGTCTACTCAAAGTAGTTAAAAAGCCAATTTTTAAGTGCAGATGGAATACTACTTTCACACGGCCCTTGTCCACAACGACTAAGTTTTGCCTTACTCTTGTGAAAGGTGACAAATGTTTCGAGACTACAAAAGACAATAAAAGTTTTTTTGCAAAGGAAACTTAGCACTGGTGCAGCCTCTAATTTCCATCCACGGCTTTCATTCACGATTTCGCAGCTTAGCTTTATGGCAAAGAATTCGTTTACAAAGGCCACGTATTTGCAGCACAAGCGAACGATGAACAACCCCTGAAAGCATATGGTTTTGCAAACACAAGAATTTCAAGACAATTCCCAATTGTATTTGGGTCACAAAAATTGCAATGGGAGGATTTAACAGAATATTTGGCCGGCATATGTTTGCTTTCGATAAATCCTCGTCAGACCAGTAGGGAGCACAAGTTAAACATTTAAGTGGTAGAAGGAATCGAGTAAAATCCGTAGTTTTATATAAATGGGATGTGGAAATAAGCAGAGGAGAATAAACCAAGGAGCGTTTGGGTTATTTAGTGTCGTGAATGAAATAAACTGCATCTAGGGCATAGAAGAGGAGGAGATTGCACGAGTTTCATCTCTATACATAAGACTGGCTGACATAACCTGATTGCAGTCGCTTCTGCTGTTACCATCAGACGTGGTTGAGGTAGTTTAATGTGACCACAGAAGAAGTTTCTTTGGGGTCTACACGATGCTTAAATCAGCAATATAAGCGAGAATGACGCTCCTTCTAATCCAGCCTTTCCTCATTCATGCGAGAGGCGTTCCTGTGTGTTCTTGATGAGACTTCGACTCGTCCGTTTAACCAAACGTAATGGTAGGGGCGCTTAACAATGGTTCTTACGGAAATCAGTCGTTCCGTTGAGCTTTAAGGGCTGTCTTTCGAGCCCAACCAGCAGTCGCACATCTGCGTATGATATAGGCAGTATGTTATATCGACAAAGACAAGGGAGACAAGGGTTGGGTATGACTGGCCGACGACGGCTAATAAGCCAGGAATAGCCATTCCGGTCACCCTTGTCTATGTCGGTTGTAACATACTGCCTATATCATGCGCCACTGTGCAGCTGCTGGTTGGACTCGAGAGAGAGAGAGAGCCCGTAAGGCGCAACGGGAGGAGTGAGTTACCGGTTTCCCTTGTCTTTGTCGATAATAACATACTAATCTGACTTACTCAGCAGGAGCTGACAAAATAGCAAATGGACATGTCGATGATCTGAACTGGCAATTACGCATAAAAGGGTTGGTGGAGAATGATGCCTGAACTCTTGCATGCCACGGCATCTACTCAAATCAAATCGCCTCGTTCACCTAATATGAGAGCTCAAAGAGCATTTTTTTGTTATTTTTCGTCCCTGTGGTAGGTTTTGTTTGTCTATCAGAGTGATTCTTTGAGAGAATTCTGTCTAGACCCGGTTCTCGCGAAGCAGGTCCTGCATATTTTTAAGTTACTTAAAGATTCTGCCTGCCGGGCAGACCTTTCTAGCCTCTTCGCTAGACAACAGAAAAAGTCACGTTTCTGCTGAGAGGATACGAAACTGCGTAAGTTCGTTTAAGGTCCAGACCACATCTACTTTCGATAGGTACTCATTTGAAGTAGGTTGTATTAATCCCACGACTCGGCGCGTATCCAGAAGAGTACGGTAGCCTTTCCCGCCAGGCCTGAGGAAACGCAAAATAGGTAGCATATGCAGCAACAAAATGCACAAAATCTCAGGGGAATGCTGAAATATAAGAAGTGAATTCGAAGAAGTAATTAAATATTGCCTGTTTTGAGGCGAAGAACAGTAGGTGGGCTAACTCATGAAATTTCAACCATGATTCCGATATGCGTTTTTTTTTAAAGATTAGTTAAGAAAGGGTGCAAAAGTAGCCAGCCTGCAGCATAATTCTAAAATATGTCAGTTACCTCAGGATCCCGGCTTTTGAATGAACTTCCTTTCGACTGCATGCAGTAACTACACTCTGTAAAAAACGACTACTTAATTAGCATGAATTTTTCTCCTTTATTTTCGATGCCTTTAAATATCAAATTACATTTCATGGAAAACATGCATAAAAAAGTCATTCTTTTGCTCATTTGGTAAAACGTTGCGTCTTCTTCCAATCTTGTCCTCGAAGAAAGGGCATAATTTGGTTTGCAAAAACGTTTCCGATTCCCTTGAACTTGGATTCAGGGTTTTCAAACTGAAAGCCGTGTATTTTCCGCGTATGGATGACTACATATTTCTCTACGGTAATTAAGACAGATCATATAGAATTCATAAAATTTAGCAGTCGAGTTGATTCAATTTGTTAACTTAACAAGCCACATTGGTAAATGCAAAAACATGACGATTTATGAATGGCCTTTAGATGATATTTAAAGGTCTCAATTTAGAAACGAACATTTTACGGTATTTAAAAGACCAGCAAATCGAACTGTTTTTGAAGCCGAATTATATCCTTCCTTCGAGTAAAATTATGAAGGCGTAATTGTCTACCGAATAAGTAAAATAATGAATATTTTATGCGTTTTTTCCTGAAATAAAATTGGACATTTAGCAGCATCGAAAACCAATGAGAAAAATTCATGCTACTCAAGTGGTCGTTTCTTACAGTGAGGTTTTTGCATGCTGCCGAAACGAAGATCATTCTAAAGCCGTGATCCTGAGGTAACTGAAATATTACAGAATTATATTGCAGGCTAACTAGTTCTACAGCCCTACTTAATTAATCTTTTCGAACCCAAAACGCATTTTGGAATTTCGGTCGACATTTCATGACTTAACTCATCAACTATAAGTACAATTACGAGCGGTTAACTAAGAAAGTCGATCCATATTTCATCCTCTAGTCTTCTTTGTTCACACGCAAAAGTGGGCCAAATGCAAAATGAATCTCAGCAGACATATGCTGCTTTATCATAAAAATTACGAAATTAAATTATTTATATGGCCGCATGCTCCCCTTTTCGCATTGATTAATTTCCTAGCCTGAACACACATCACCACGTAAACGATGTGTTGTCCATTTTGCCAGAAAAATCAGTCAGAAACGTGAGTAGCAATGATGATAGATTCTGGTAAAAATCTAATTATTTTGGAAAGGAAATAGCCTGCAAAATATAGTGCAACGCATTTCGTTTCATTGCTGATATCTTAAGTCGGAGAATAAACCCGTATGCACAGCATTACTTCTTAGAAGAATGGTTAGAATCCAAATGGAGTATTGCATTGCATTACAGTCTGCGAAAATCCGGATTTTTCAGCCTTTTGAGTTATCACCGACTTTTCATTTCCTGCAGTTAATGATATATTAGACGTTCATATCGAAAAAAACAGAGTGGTTACTCGCGGTTATAAAGTTGACGCAAATCACAAGCAGCATTCGTCTCAAATAGCACATACTGTCTTTTTTCCCGGCGTCAGTAAACTGGTCGTTGTTTCGTCGGTGTTCGCAAGCAGGGACCAACGACTCAGGATGTCAAAGATAGACTTTGATTTGCCCAACCTCTGCGAAATTTAACGACTGTAACATAAAATGACAATAAACACTTTTAACAAATGCAATCTGGAGATTCTGTGTGCCCTTTCCTAGGCTAATAAAAGGTACATTCCTCAGTCTTTGTTGTATGGTTCCTTTTACGATTTCCATTTATCGCTCTGAAAGAAAGAGAGCCAACAGAAGCGAACGGGCGAGTTTCAGGAAGCAGTTCATTAGAGGGAAGGACGCAGGAGAGCAGCAATGCCAGAGACAGCGAGCCAAATGGTCGAGTAATCATCCCGCCCACATTCAACACGAAGGGTGAAATTGAGGCAATTAACGACTTGGATGCGGAAAGACGAGCCATCATCGCGTCCATTACGACCACCAACGGTGATCGCAATGGCTGTTAGTAAAAGTACACATGCAGTCCCATGACTGCTGCGTCCTATAAATACTGCAGTCTATGTGCCTTCATCAGCCTTATATTCGACTGTTTCTAATCATGAGTTCAAGTGAGAATTCGAAACATCGAGTTAACAAACTTCTTGTTCAAGTGATCGTATCTTTTTCTACATAACATGTGCTTTCTCATGAAATGTCAGTCAAAATTTCGAAATGCGTTCTCGTTTAAAAAAAGATAAATTAAGTAGTGTTGTAAAACTAACCATCATGCAGCATAAATCTATAATGATCCAGTTACCGCAGGGTGCCGCCTTTCGAAAGAACTTACACTCGGCTGCATGCAAGATCAATACTCTGCAAAAAATGCCTACTTGAGTAGTATGCAATTTTCTCATTGATTCTCGATGCCCTTGAAAACTTAATGCGATTTCATGGAAATCATGCATAAAAAAGTCATTCTTTTACTTATTCGGTAGAAAATCACGTCTTCTTCCAATTTGACACTCAAAAAAGAGTATAATTTGGTTTTAAAAACTTTTCTAATTTCCGAATAATTTTGAACCCGAACTCCTGTTACACTTGCATTCAGGGTTTCAAAACTAAAAGCGGCATATTTTCCGTGTACGGAAAATCATGAATTTCTCTACGGGTTTAAGAGGAGACTATATGAGTTTTATAAAATTAACCAGTGGATTTTTAGCCGACACCCTGCGGTAACTCGATCATTATCGATTGATGCTGAATGATGGTTAGTTTTACAATACTACTTAATTGATCTTTTCGAAACGTGAACGCATTTCGAAATTTTGGTTGACATTTCATGAGTTAGCACATCTACTATAATCGTGTGATCTAGTGATAATAATTTGAAATTTGCAGGTCACGGCAGGCTTAAAATGTGCCCTGGCTAAGTACAGCTTAATATTCGCAGTGCACTGCGGATGTATGGACAGGAATTTTGCCCTTAACATACACCAATTCTATTGTTTTCCGCAAACAACAATTTTGCAAATCTAAGTCAAATTTTGCTAGCCCTGTACATTTCAGGTCGCCGTTGTTTCACAGTACCTTAATAGTTGGTGATTACAGTTAGGCCATCACGATTAATGATGCCTACCATGTGCCAGACGAAACATGCTGCGGCGGCGTCTTGGTTGTGAATTAGTTCGTAATGAAGAAAACTTACGCATCATCTTCCGCACACCCCCCTACCCCATCCGTCTTCCTCCGATGACAAGACAAAGTAAAGACGGACTGAGGAAGGCGTGAACGCAGTGGCTCAAAAAAACAAAACGGCTCGGCTACGAGTGCCAGATTTGACGGAGCGAAGGGCGAATGTCATAAAGTTGACATTTAGAAGAAGCCGTTTCGCCGGCTGTCAGTCCGCCGGCAACTCCTCTCACCTGCACTCCGCATTGACCACTCACACTGAGTTATCCTTTCAGTTGATAGTCTTCCAAGTGAGGACGTTAAACACTTCTCGGAATCAGAAGACGAGGTGGCGAGCATACGTAGCTTTCGATAAATTCTCATTGGGCCAGTACAGTTATATGGGAAAGGGGTAGAAACATGTCAGAGATAAGAGAAATTGAGAAACGTTCGCCGTGCCGGACACTGACTGCTACTACCCCCACTACCCCACCCCCTCCCCTACCTTCGCACATCCGGCCTGTGTTTTAAGGCGAACTTTTATCGGTTTCTCGCATCGATGACATGTTTTACTTCTACCCCGTTCTTATATAACTGAACTGGCCCTGCGAGAATTACATGAGAGCTACGTATGCTCGCCACTTCGTCCTCTAATTACTGCATGGGAATTAGCGCACCCCTTGGAATGTTCATGCATATCAGATGGCAGAGAGAAGTGCCTTTCTTTCCGGCGCAATGGCTGATAGCGCCAGAAATACATCATGATCATTTTACTCTCGAGGGTACATTAGAGGAGGTCAAGGGGCTATTACGCTGTCCTGGCCCCAAGTGCAAGCGCAGTGTGGGCAATGAAAGTAAAGTAGGCCAAAGGAGCGGGCCAAAATCGTTAGTGGGGGAAGTTGCCGAAGCTGAAACGGAAAAGGCAACCTGATGTATGACAAATCTGCCAGCAGACTGAAGGAAGCCTAGAGGTCCCGCATAAGACCTGGCTAAAAGGACACGCGGGTCAAAAGTAATCCTAACCCTTAACGCAACTACAAATTTAATGTTAACCCTAAACTTAGCAATAGACCTAAAACAAACCCTAGCCCTAACCCTAAGCCCAACCTTAACCCTGACCCAAATCCTAACCCTAATCTTAACCGTTACCTGAACACTAAACCTAACCTTAAAAATAACCCTTATCCCAAATTTATCTGTAAATCTACACTTGCGTTAGCCCAACCCCAACCTTATCACTAAACGTAAATCTTAACTGCAATCCAAACCCTAAGTCAAGTTTGGCACAAAACCTAAACCCTGACTCATTTCTCAGTCCGATACTAACCCAAACCCTAAAACAAACTCTATCTCTGAACCGAGACAGCAGGTTGCCCTTTTCTGTTTAAGATTTGGATACTTTCTCACTAACAATTCTGGCATCCTCCATTGGTCTACTTCACTTTCTATGCCCACATGGCGTTCACGCTTGGAACGAGTACAGCATACCCGACCCGTAACCATCAGAGAAAGTGCATTTCGCCTACACGTGCAGGTTTTGCCACGCGACTTTGCGTTGGCCATAACTGTCACGGCGAAATGGATCCTATTCTTGCTGCCAGAAAAATCTAAGACTGTCGTGGGGTGTGGCGACTGGTGTTAAGAGACCTTGTTCATGGCATGCACAGTGGGTGGGCTATCTCATGAAATGTCAAACGAAATTCTGAAATGCGTTTTCGTTTCAAAAAGATTAATTAAGTAGTGTTGTAAAACTAACCAGCCAGCAGCATAATTCTATAATAATTCACTTACCTCAGGATGTCGGCTTTTAAACGAACTTCCTTTGGGCTGCGTGCGAAAATGACCCTGTAAAAAATGACTTCGAATGTAGCATAAATTTTTCTTATTGCTTTGCGATACCCTTAAAACTTTCATTATATTTCATGCAAAGCATGCAGAAGATATTTATAAGTTCGCTCATTCGGTAGAAAATTGCATCTTCTTCGCAGCCTACTCCCGAATGAATGGTGATATTTGGTTTTTGCAAACGTTTCTAATTACCGAATATTTTTTAAGCCCGACCTGCTGTTACACTTGGCTTCAGGGTTTCCAAACTAAAAGCCATATATTTTGCGCGTACGGAAAACCACACACTTCTTTCTCTACGGTATTAAGAGGAGACCATATAGGGTTCGTAAAATTTAGCAGTAGATATGATCCATATTGTTTTTACAAATCCCATTGGTAAGTGCAACCACATGACGTTTTATGAATGGTCTTTTCATGATATTAAAAGGTCTCACAATTAGAAACATTTTAAGACGAATTATGTCCCTTCTTCGGGTGCAAAATTAAAAGAATACGCAATTTCCTAACATAGGTGCAAAGGGTTAATATTTTGATACATATTTTTCATGAAATATAATTACATTTTCAAAGGTATCGAAAATCAATGATAAAAATGCATGCTAATTATGAAGCTATTTTTTACAGAGGGTACATTTTCTAGGCAGCCCAAAGGACGGTCGTTCTAAAGCCGGCATACTGAGGCAACTGAATTATTATGGAATTATGCCGCAGGCTTACAGGTTTTGCAGCCCTACTTAATTGGTCTTTTCGAAGGGAAAACGCATTTCGGAATTGCGGTTGGCATTTCATGAGTTAGCCAAGCTACTGTAGATTAAAGAGTTTTTTGTCGATTGGGTATATGATCTTGACCCTCGGCAGCTTCCCACGGCAAGGCACTCCTAGCGCAGAATATGAGAGTAATAGAGCTGGGAACCAGTAGGCATTCCTGCTTTACAGCCTAGGTCACTCAAAGACTTCAAACTGTGCCTCGTTGTCCGCGGCGCTAGCTTTTTATCACGTGGGAAATCCCAATAAAACTAATACTTTTTCATTAACCGGTGTTACCAGCACTTCTGTTTCCCACACAAAACACAATTACCAACTGTTTCAATGGTTAAACTTTGCCAGTAGGCATATATTTAGATGAACCTGCAGGACCTCAAGCGGGCCGGGTGGACTGCTTAATTTATTACTGCCTTGTACCCTTAACTTCCGTTGATCTATCTTTCTCGTCATGTGCTTGTGAGGGCAATGGCGTTCCCAAAAGCCATCCGTTAGTCTGCCTTGGCTCCATTTGTTGGGAGATTATGTGGATTTTTAAAATTTCTTTAGAGTTTCAAAAATCACACTGAAAAATTCAAAAAGCGATTTGGCGAGCATACGTCTGTTTTTAATAAATTCTCGTCAGGCCTGTACACTTATATGACTGGTAAAGTAATAAATTAAAAGATAAGAGCAAGTAGATAATTATGTTATATCTCCCCTCTCCTCCCGAAACCCGAGCTGCAACATCATTATCTACAGGCCTGACGAGAATTTATCAAAAGCAGACATGCGCTTGCCAAATTGCCTTTTGAATTTTTAGAACTTGGTCTTTGCCTAATTAAAGAAGGCTGTTTGAGAGGAGAAAGGGTGTATTGGCTGACGATGGCGACCAATTTAGTCTCCCAGAGAGACAGAAACAGGATGAAGAGAGGGTTGTTGCTGCGTTAAGGTAATTCAAGAATTCTTCTCACGACTTCCTTCATGATGGCAAACGCGACCCCAGCATCCATTCATCCTGCATTCGAATGTCCTTCGGATAAAACTATGTAACCGATACCCGCTTTTTACTAATTGTCCTTATTCGCAGAGTCCGTTTTTGCTGAGAACAGCAATGCCCACCCATTAGAGCACCAGTTTTTGGACAAACATTGCTACCCCTCATCTTCGTCGACGACCCATTTGGTTCTCTGATTTCAAACGAACATTCCAGGCCATCAGAGTGAGGCGTCAAAATGGCAGCCTGGAGTGCCGTAGAACGACAACAGGGAGCCGTTGGTTTGCATACTTCTTCGGTCGTTTAATTTTGCGTTCACACGCAGCGGCCAGCTTGCTGACGGCTTGGTTGTTCATCATCTGGTTTAAGTTAGTTTATTAGGGGAATAGAGTTTTAACCCTGGAGTTCCCTATTCATATCCAAAAATAGCACCGGTAATTCAAGAAATGTAAAAGTCGTCCGCATGTGTAAGACGGGCACAAACTGCCACCACTGACACAATCGAGCTCACATGTACAGAAATTTTACGACAAATGCATATCTAGTTTGCATTCAAAGGTTTCAACAATTTTGAAAAGAAGCACCGCATCAGATATTTGTTCCATGCTCCGATGACCCGCTACGCGAGGGCGTTCCGTTTGACGCCAGCATAAACCAAATTCCTCTACAGTTAAGAGCCATGACTACGTAGACGGTCGTCCCAGCCAATTTGAAGTCTAGGGCACGCTCAGGGACCCTTATAATCCGGTGGTTTTGCATGCTGTCGCCGCGCAGTTGCCTGTAAATGAGGGGAAACTGGTTAAGTTCAGTCAATCTGGTTTCGTAAGGCGGATAAGTAGGAATCATGACCATCTTCCTTGCTCCCCGCTTGAAATCACTCCATCTGTTGATAATCCTTCTTGAACCACGTGCAGCAGGCCTGGACGGCACATTGCAAGTGAGACCAAACGAATGTCCCGTAAATTTTTCCAACAGCTCCTCATCGATCTGCACAAATCCCCAACTCAGCGCAAATAACGCCCATGTTGCGGGTTTGGCTAGCATTTGACATTGTGACGGTAGTTTATGGGAGGAGGTCATAAGGACGACGAGGTCCTTCTGTTCCCCAACGTTTGAACTGGTCTGCTCATCAAGGAGGTATCGAAAAGAATCGTCCTCCCTACTGGTCCTTCTGACGTGGAATCTCAGGAGTACACACTTGTCCAAATTAGGATATACAAGCCAGCGATCTGACCCCCTGCTCAGTCGGTTGAGACTTTCTAGAAGTGCATGCGTCACTATCAAACATGACAGTAGTTTTTCATGTCCCTTCATCTACATAGGGTAAGCAGTATTTCCGTAAATAGGGTTACACAACCGGTGGCGTCTACTTCGAGTGAAGATTTGTTTAGGGAAGTGACAACCAAAAATACTTTTCACCGCCCACGGTGTTGGGAGGGGAGGAGTACGACAGTGGCAGGGATTACATGAGATTAAGTTGCGCACAGCGGATGTCCTTATTTACTATTGCTGCAGCGTCAACACCAAATGGGGAGAGGCGACGCCCGAGGCATTCACAACGTGTTTTCACAAATGTTGGCGGAGGTAACTCTGTGTGCATCTCGTGGTGGGTGTTCCTGAGACCCTGTGTACTTCCTGTTCCACGCAAACAACTGAAACGAAACGGACAATGTACAGTAAATGGGCTAGATGGCAACCCCAACTGCATGCATTGAACATGGCTCTATTATGGATAAATTATTGCTCATACAGATTATTCAAACATATTTAGTTCTAAAGAGAATTAGGCGTTCATCGGGAGAGATTGGACCCAAAGTCGGAGGTAGCAACCCATGCCGCGCAAATGGGACACATCTTCAACTTTGACGCCCTTGAGATTGTGGTCCGGGTCGATGATCATACATCAAGGCAGGTGCAAGAAGCCTCGATGTCCAACGACTGCTCTGTCAACCGCCAAATGAATTTGGCCCTCCCTATGTGATCTTACGAACCTTTTTATCGGGGGACAGTCACGGCGTGAGACAATCAGAGCCGTCTGCTATCTGCGCAACCGACGAGGGCGGGGCATTTCAGGTCAGAGTGACATGCGGGTCGGATGCAGCCACAAAGTCGCCATTGTCGGGCCAGGCATCAATCAAAGCGTGCCATATAGGGAGAGCTGTGCGCATGACTTCCCGTTCTCTGAAGATGGGTAGACGAAATAATTAACCGAAACGTCAGACCCCAATACACCTCTCCCGGTGAACGCCTCGTCCTCTTTTGATTTGCCACAAGGGAATCACATTTTCACTCCTATCGACATATTCACTTCTCAAGAATGGAAGAGAATATGCGCATCTTAGGTTCTTGTTTAAAAGAAGAAGAAGAAGGTACGATTGCTGGGACAGTAGCTAAGGCCACTATTCGTTCCTATTTAGGTGGACATTTGAAGGGTTTACACAGATTCCGATTAATTTACTGAAAATGAACACAGTTTGTGGTCATCAAGTTGTGACAGTTCGATTTAGAAATTAGGGATTATGGCGAACTGGACCTAGTGAGATATTTGTCTAATTTCCAACCGGAGGAATGTTCGTGTCCTTTAGCACACACTAATAAAATTCCAACGTTGGCGTGTCAATCAAAGTGTACTGTTAAACCAAGTGGTAATGATTTCAGATCGTGCAGTTTCCATCAAATGCCGCAAGACAATATTCAGGATTTCCGTAATCCATTTTTTGCTTCTGCGAATCGTGTTAGGATTGACAGTGCATGGCGGATGACAGCAACGTTTAGCCACAGGTCTCACGGATGTATCGTAGGATTCCCCAAATACCCGCTCATCAGTATCTGATAATGAATTGGGGCGAACATGAACGGTAGGTATTAAATATATTGGCGGCTTTTTTAAAAAAAACTACAATGACATCCTCATCCAGCCTAAATTGCTGGCTCAGATAAATGCTAGAATTGGGTTTAAATTTTGATTTAGCGCAGATAGCCCATTTTCCCATGTCAAACCAAATGCTATTTAACTAGTGAAATTGTAAGGTATTAGTCACGAACTGTAAGGCCGCGCGTGACGAGTAAGCTATCCTATTTTCGGCTATTGAGGAGATTTTGCGGAGAAAGTTGATGAATGTCAAAGGAAGGAGGATATTCAACTGTGTGGCATTCAAAGCAATAAGGAGGGTTGATGCAATATGTGAACAGGATAGCCAGTGAGGCGAATTGCCAATAGAACCAAGGTTGTGAGTTTCAGAGAGCAGTGCAAAGGAAAATTCGATCACTTGAACATGAGTTACATTGGTTAGACTTTCAGATTCCCTCTCGACCCCATCATCAGAGGCATAAAGACTTCAACATTTCTAGCTCCCAGTCGCCAGACGACCTCATGCCTAACTTGATTTGCAGTTGCTGTATTCATCGCTGGGGGTCTTTAATAATGCAATGATGATTTGTCGTTATTTGCTGAGATGGAATCATCGTTGCAGATTCTTGGCGCGGTAATTACCCAACAATTTGGCGCGCTGTCACCGGAATCGCCAGTCGTCCGCGCCCTCCCCGCGTGACTAATTACACGGAAAGTCATTCGGCTTCAGGAAAGACTAGGGGGCGGAGAAGCATGACTTGTGCAGTTCGCGGCTCACGCGGTTGTCGCCTCTTGCAGGATTTTCGGCCTCGCCAACCTTGAAGATGTGTATGGCTCCCGCAGCATCAGTGATGCTGGATGCTCGGACATATGTGTCCAGAAAAATCTTTTACTTTGTCCGACGTAGCTGCTTTTCTTCAATCACGCGGGATCCGGCAAAGGCCTCGCGCCGTTCCTTGTCTTTGCACTGGGCCTTTTGGCTTCACAACTCGACACGTGATAGTGGAGAGAAGTGTCTTTTAGCGTAGCAGCCGCCATAAAAGATCTCATTTCGTTTTCACATCTAGCGCGTGAAACTGTCCTACGTTATTTAGTTTTCAAGCAAATAGTTCATGAGCACATCCTCGTATGTGAGTAAATCAAGCGGTTACTCGATGTGTTAATCACTACTAAAAGCAAAAGTGATGTGAACCACTCTGGATGTCGACATTAATTCACCCCCTTCCACTTTTTCCATCCTTGACTAAACTATATGTGATGGAGATACAAATTCCCTATGAATTTTTTTGTCTCCGCCAGACCACGCCATTTGCATGGACCCTTTGTTTATTCTCGCCTAATGCCTGTGGGGCGCACAATTTGATGCAAATTTCCCAGCTACAGTGGATGCGCTATCTCATGTGACGTTAGCCGAAATTCTGAAATGCATTTTCGATTCAAAATAATTTACTTTTGGGCACCACGACAATAAGATATTTCTGTCACACCAGAATATCGACCGTTTGTTTAGTTTTCCTTCAACCGTCTGCAAAAACAACATTGTAAAATGGCCGCTCAAATAGTTCGCAGATTTCTTACCGATATTAAATTCTCCAGTAGATGCAAATGTAGTTTTATAGAAAACTTGCATATAAACATGTTCTTTTCTACTCATTTGGAAGCAAATCGTGAATCCTTCGAAATTCCTACGTGAGTAGTAAGCATCTTTAGCTTTAAAAATTTTTTAATTTTCCGGATAATTTTAAGGCCAACTTGGCAATACACTTGCATTCGGGGTTTACAAACAGCATGCCGCTTATATTCGGCCAAGGAATATCGCGCATTTCCTTACGATTCTGGGAAGACACCATGTACTTGTGCAATGCTGTGAACCAGGCTGTATACTTCATATGTAACACTTATAAACGTGTTGATGCGATGCCCTGTGAAAGGAAATTTCACAGCCTCCTCATTGAGAATTTTCTAGAACCAAAAGATGCTCCTCTTTCACGTAAAATCACTCAGGAAGGCATAATATGCTAAAAAATGGGTATAAAAAGAGGATTTTAACATCAACAATCAACGGAAACATATATGCTGCTCAAATAACCAGTTCTTATAGGGATAAGGTTTTGTACACGGTGGAAATAAAAGCTTATTCAGATGCCGGCATCTGGACGGTACGGAGATGTCTTATCGTTACGCTTCGTTAAATTTCGTGTTTAAAATTTAATTGGGCAGTCTTTTTAAATGAAAGACATATTTCTGAATTCCTGTCAACATTCTATAAAATAGCACATCAGTTGTTTATTTCGACGGACCAGTGACTTGTCTCTCAATGCCCGTACCACTGCCTCTATAATGGCCCATAAATTAGCATGTCCGTGCATTGAATGCATGCCATTTGCCTTCCCGCTTTCAGTAGAAAAGCTAACGCATGAAATGTTAACTGAAATTCTGAAATGTGTTTCAGACTCAATAGGATTACTTAAGGAATTTTGTGAAATTAATCATCGTGCAACATAATTCCATGATAATTCAGCTGCTTAAACATGCCGACTTCCGAACAAACTTCTTTGCGGCCGCCTCCATAAACTTCACTTTGTAAAAATGACCACTTAAATAGTAGAAAGGTTTGGCGAGGTTTGGTTCTGCAGTCCCACTTGAGTGATACCATATGCTTAGCTTCCTAAAAACAGTTTGATAGATGTGAATAAGTTGACTTTGCCAATACCACATATTTGCATCTTTCTTACCGTTTCAACGCAGGGAGTGACATTGCCACGGGAGGAGGAACGCTTACACCTCAGCCTTAGTTACTTCAGGTGTCAGTTTACAGGCGCTTCCATGTGCGTGCTTCTATGCCTGTTTGCGCTCTCTGTATATTATCCTAATCCAGCAAATGACCAAGAGAAAATGCTAGTGGAATTGTTCCAAAAGTTTGGAAATCTGTTGGTTCCACTTCAGTGGTCATGCACTGCGTATTACCGGGCGGTTCCCACAGTGGCCTTCCTGTTGTGATTACGCCCTCTTTATCCTCTACATTTAGCGAGTGGCTGTGTCGGGGGGCGAATGTGTACACGCCACCTTCACTCCCTTTCCTGCACGTGTTTCGGGCTCTGCTCGTGCTGCCCTTCCCATCCTAATCCGGTGAGTGGATAAGTTAGATGCGTTAAGCAAAATTGTTCAAGTGGACTAACCAAATGGTATTAATTCCGTGTGACTGCAGAACCAAACTGGGACAGATAAAAAAGGATTAGAAGACGCTCAAAGGCTGAATAAATACAAAGATAGGCAGATTGCAGTGATTTGAGGGATTTCTTTACATCCATCAGGGCGAACTCTGTCGTTCAAACCAAGGGCTCTGAATATTTTCCCAGGCAAAACTTAACCGTCACCACTCCTAATTTCTATATTTAAAAATAGGGAGACGTAACTCTGGTTGGTTTCAAGGAAAGCAGACCAGGACTATAGGACAATAAAGATATGGCGAATTTGCTATGGATTTTATTGGTTGATAAAACTGCTTATTTAAAGGAAGAAAAATTATATTTCTCTGTTGGAAAAGTTTCTTTATCGCCTTGCTTATAGATGTCAATTATGGAACCGTTTTCTTTCTTGTGCATTGTGACATACTCTATAAGCCATCTTCGCGAGCAAGGCGATCTGTGCTCAGATATTTAACAAGATCACTAAAAGACTAATCAACACAAAATTCTCGGGTAGCAACCGTCTTGTGCTGTGTAGACTGAGATAACCGTTTGTCTACAATTAATAAATAAGATAATCACGATTGAGACTGTTTTACTTACCGTCCCACTCATGACTGTCGGATATAGGTGAATCGATTTATACAAGCTATGCTGTATTTCACGAATGGAACCGAATATGCGAGTTCCAGACTCTTGTTGCAGAGATGAACGCGCGATCAACGGGACAGTACATCTATCAGTCTGGACTATGGGTCTCGCACAAGACCTCATCATTAAATACAGTGTGAATGAGCCGTCAAATGAGCGGTTTTCAATACTTCTCTGCCTTTCTTTGTTTGACTACAGTCTCTAACGGTGATCTCTTGTGTGTGACCGAAAGCTCAGACCAATGCATGTACTATCCCAGTGGTGTTGTGTCCATCTTTGTAAGCACTGTCTGCCTGACCGTCTAACTTTGTTGACCTCCTTGTGAACAAATTGAAGCATGGTTGGCATGTGTTTTCATGGTCAAATACCATTTATTGTAGACAAAGTGATATCGTGTTCTTTAACGACGAGTTTTTTCGCTTGCCAAGGTCATACTCATTGAACGGTTTAACGAGGATTTGTTGCTTTACGAACTAGACTGGGAAACCACAAAAGGGAGCTATGAATAGGAATCAGAGACTGTTTCATGAGCATTGAGTAGGATGTTGCATTGTTCAGCCTTAACTGCCAACGCTAAATTGCGTTTGCTAAAGCCCTTTATTAGCATTTTAAGACTCAAACCATTTCCATAAGTTTGCAAGATGAATGGAGCTTAGAGCTCTTGTTTGGCGGCATACTTGATGCAAAATATGTCCATTTTGCCGCCTATTTGGTAAAACGCTTGCAGTTGTTTTTAACGAGCGAGTTCCAATGGAAAATTCCACTGGGGAGGTCTTGAGACGTAAACAGTGAGGACCGATACGACGTTTGATGCCCCTGCACTCTGTACGGTCGAAGCCCAACGGCTCAAACTTCAAAGTACCATGCCGCTAATGCTCACGATTGGCTTACCAGAGTCATGACATTGAGTTAGAAAAAGCCCAACAGCTTCGCTTATTTGAACTTAACCTAAATGCATGAAAAGTAAACTTCTATCAAACAATCAACTGGGTTTTTAGATGCAGCAAATCGGCAGTGGATGTGTCAGCAGAAACGATTTATAATTAATTTACTGTTACTTGTTTCCAGTTGAGTTTGTAATAATGTGCAGAAAAGTGGTTTTTGATATAACATGGAGGGGGTGACCAAGGGAATAGAACCGGTCTAAATAAAATGTGCACACCTTATTTATGTAACATTTGCGGCTTTACGTCTGCCTTTCAGTGAATACCTGTCTGCGATACAAAAGTGTATAGGTGAGCAAATACAACAACCACGAACGCTGTAAAGCTGTAGTCAACTTCTTGCATAGGAGAATTAAATGTACCAATAATATTAGGTGGCCTATGTACCATTAAATTTCGCATGCTTTTCGCGTTTTACTTTTATCACTTGCCAAACATATGGATTTGATCAAATTAAACCAAAATATACCTTGCAAAAATACTTGATAGCAACAGTGTATTACACTTATTTAACTATCAGCCTCCTGGTAGGGCAAATGTGACAAAACTCCCTGAGGGTTTCGTCTGTATCAGAAAAAAACTTGAGTACTCGTTTTTGGGATTAGAAATTCTGGTCAAACTGCTCAATTCATGCAGTGGTATTTTCCCATAAGAGTTTGCTACTTATTTTAGTTTCGTGAAACGCCTGTGGCTTGATTTGTACAAAAACGCATATGCGAGCACAGTTACACACACTTTTTAAAAGTGTGTGCATCTGGAAGGGCACTTTTTTGACAAACGTTTTTAATTTTATTTAACTTTCACTGGTCTTCGCGCCCCTGAATCTACATCCATTAAAACTTTATTGCCAAAATCGACGTTCTGGGGATCAAATTAGAAACGGTAAAATTGAATCATGAATGGGCATTAATAACTCTAATATCCATTAGCACGGAGCATGACATGGAAAAATTAGTCCCTGACTGTTACCGTAAAAGTACATTTGGTAACCAGTTTGTCATTATTATTTGTCTCTGACTGCTCGTCTAATTTGCTGGAGGAGGGTCCGTTTCCTTCTTTTTTGCATTACTACAAGAACAGCAGTCTGGAATCCAACAACAAGTAGCTTTATAAATATAAAATACTATGTTATTTGTTATCTGAAAAGAATGTGATTTACTGCTCTGTTACCTTTACTCCTCACCTCAGTATACGTCGTAGAAGGCACGTCCCACATTTAGTTAAGCCACACAACATGACGTGCACTCTTCCTAGTTTTATTAGCGTCCTTATTAACGACTAATATAATTGGCTGTTGCATGCCCCCTTCAAGTTATTTATATTTGCAGTTTACTTCCAGGGCAAGTACCCAACGAAAAAGTTCCTAGTCCGCAAATTTACATAACAGCGCAAATTTAAAATCATTAATTCGCAAAATGAAAAGGTCATATTCAGCCGCATTCCTTTGAAGGTGTACAAATGCTGCAACTACATGCTTTACTTCGAGTATTATCAGTTACATTTTCATAGCAGAACGCGACACCCACAATTTTACACTAGAGTCGAAAAAATATTAGGTTTGTCGACAATAAAACAGTTCAAGCTGCTTTGATGGAAAATATGCGACTGGAAACCAAACAGAAGGACTTCAGGCGACTTTGGAAGACAGAACAACGGGTAGTTTTTGTTGCAATAATAGGCATTTTGACATATACAGGTGGGAAATTTTTAATTTACCGACTGGTATTTCGATAAAAAATATTTAAAGGCACGGGTTTAGGTTGTTTCATATGAGGATATCTTTAAAAAACACGTATTGGTGCACGTTCCACATTTAATCCATAGAATTTGTGTTGCAGACATTTACTATATGGGCTAGATATCTATGGAGTCAATTCATCGCCATATATGAAGCCTGCAAATACAGCTGACGTCGTCTCCTCTTTACAGAATGAGTTGAACCGATGCCATAAAATCCAGAACACTTGTTGAAACCGACAAAGTATAACGACGGTTTTGCATTCTTCACCGGCATTCTTGTATCTTGTACCGCTTGGGACTTGGCGACGACTGGAGGGGTGTCGTTTTCAAGTCAGGTGCATGTAGGCCAAGACTAAGCCTAACATGGAATCATATTACTGCGAAGGCAGTTAGGAAGTCAGGCGACATTTCATTAATTCTGATAGGACAACGTTTGAGGAATTCAGCGAATACCTCGATGCAGCATCCTGGTGCTGACTCTAAACGATTGCACAACACAAAATATTCTGCCAATTATTTAGTTACATTTTCTATTAATCTCTCGAAGGAAGTTAGCACGAATGCCGTTTGCAATGTTTTTCAAGCACACTTACGCATGCAAACTTCGCTGATGTACTTGCTGGCACCAATATCTTCGTTTTCTTTATCTAAGATCTAAACCCGCTGTTTGTCTTGAGTTCTATGTACCCCTATAATTGCCCTGTTTTAAACATTTTTTGCAGGCTTTTAGCACTTTAATTCCCTATTATGCTTTTATTTTATGTAAAGAAGTTCAGACCTCTTTTTCGTTTTATTGGGTATATTTTGAGTCGCTGTCCTATGCGCTGAGAATTTGGCTCGCATTTCAGTGTAATTTATTTACGTCGCATCCTGATACCGCATCACCCTCCAGCTATTGATTCAAAATTTAAACTGTCATTGTTTGCAAGGGCTAAGGCATGCTAATGACCTCAGATGGCCACGAAACTATCTCTGGTACCTTTTAATTTTTACTGCAGTACTTCATGCGTGTTACATAAGGCTGCGTACTTCAGGTTTGAATTTTTTTGCTGCCGAAGCACAGGCTAGACGTCGAAGGCGTTAGTAACCACATCAGCTGGACACCTTATTCCAAATGTATTTTTGTTTATGTTCGGAGAATGTTAACTCCAGATGCTTAGAAGTTCTAAATTAACTGGGATGCATGAAGACTGAAGTACAAAATTGGACCGCGTAATCGTTTCAAAGTTAGCGGTGTTTAAAACTTGGTGATATTTAATAACATCTACTCAGCAGTATGGGAAATCCATACCCGGAGCTTAGAGACCCAGTAAAATAGGAGAACCGAATTGCTTTTGATCCATATCAGCTTTTAAGCGTTTTTAGTGAGTCCGATGCAAATTTAGTTGGAGCTAGAAATTATTTGTTTTGGAAGTATTTGCTGGTCGCAGTTCAAGTCCTATAACTGGAAATATGGCATATGTGATCTGTTTTGCTTAAACTGCTTTGGACATAGACAAGTTTGCATTAAGTAACTGATCATACACGTACGTCAAAAATATTTTCATTGCCAGACAAACATCGTTTATATTTTAAAATATGTAAATTTAAAAAATAGATATACACACATTCGTGTTTGGTCGTGTCTGACAAACGTGAACTCAAGATACTCGAAAATTCTAAGTTTGCCTAAAAACGAATCATGCTTACTTCTGTTAAAAAAAACTTTCTCAATTCCCGCGTAATTTTTATCAACACCTGCCGTTGCGATTGCATTCAAGCTTTCCAAACTGGAAGCTGTATACGTCCCATGTAAAGGAAATCATATAATTGGAAGGGCCATATGGGGTTCACAAAACTGCCTAATGGATATAGACAAATTTATCTACTTTGTGAGCAACATCAATAAATTTGCTGATGCGAAGAAGTATGCTTAGACATTTTGCGGTCCTGAGAAATTTCACAACCACAGTTGACTACCTCTGTGATTTCCTATCTGCCAGCAAGCAGGAAATAGGGATTCCGACGAATACACTCAAGGCACTATTACTAGGATGCACATTAAATGTGCAGTTCCTGTTCGACAACCAACTCTATAGACAAGTAGACGGCGTTGCTATGGGCTCACCCCTTGGACATCTCCTAGCCGATGTCTTCATGGGAAAATTGGAGAGATTCCAACTAACCGAACAGATCGACAAGCTCAAACATTACGGTCGCTATGTTGACGATATCTTTGTCATTGCCACTGCAGAAACCGATGTAGCAACCCTCTTAGATGCGACAAATCAGGCAAATCCGTCGATCAAATTCACGCTGGAGATGGAAACAGCCGGTTCGCTCCCTTTTTTTAGATGTTCTTCTAAGCAGGAGACCTGACGGGAGTGTCCGAAGAAGCGTCTATCGGAAGGAATCCTGGTCTGGACAATGCACGAACTTCGCCAGTTTCGTACCCCTCCAACAAAAACGAAGTCTAGTCCGATGTTTGGCACAAAGGGCTAGAAAAATTTGCTCAACAGATAGCATCGAGGAGGAGCTCAGAAAAATCCAGGACTTCCTTCGCAAAAACGGATATCCTGAACGGTTTATTGAAAAGAATATTCCTGGACGACCGATCAAACCCGCCACACGGACCGCCGAAAAGAAGACTGTTCCTCAAGGTCCCTTTCGAAGGGGACGCCGCGAGTGGACTCCTAGGGAGACGCCTTGATCGAGCTGTCTCGCGAACCATCCCAGCAGCAAGGACTCAAATAGCATTCTCTACTAACCCGATTTTACGCGGAGAAGGTAAGGATAAGTTGCCACCGCAGACCACCTCAATGTGCATATATTCCCTCACTTGCTCCTGTGGAGCAGGCTATATTGGTCTAACGAGTCGGCGCTTATCCAAAAGAATACGCGAACACCTCCCGGCATGGCTAGGAAAAGGCGAAACAAGGAGTTTAAGCAGCGCCATTCTCGCGCATGTTGTCGATTCCGGACATCGTGTGGACCCCAACGAAGCTTTTCGTGTGATTAATAAGGTCCCATCGAGTTACCCTAAGCTACTAGGCCAACGCCTGTTAGCGACAGCGGAAGCGGCCGCCATTAGGCTACGAAAGCCAATCTTGTGCGCACAGAAGAATCACGTTCAGGCTCCGCGCCTACGCTGCTACACTTCGCGCCCTTCCGCTCTCACTCCGCCCCTGACAATGACTGCTATTACCCACCTCCAACCACATTCCCACATCCCGCCCGTGTTTTAAGTAGAACTTTTATCGATTTTTCTTAACGCTGACGTGTTTTTCTTCTACCCCGTTCTCATATAACTGTACTGGCCCGACGAGAATTTATCGAAAGCTACGTATGCTCGCCATCTCGTCTTCTGATTACGGCTATGGGCATTTTCGTAACTCTAAAATTAGAAAGCTGCTAAAAACCAAACGATACTCTTCATTCAAGTTTAAAATTTGAAGAGGATTTAATTTGCCGCCGAATAAGTAAAAAAGAATAATTTCGTACACGTTTTCTATGCAATATATTTGAACTTATGTGGGTATCAACAATCCACGTGATACTTATTCTTACTACTTAAGTAGTACTTTTTACGGAATATACTTTATGCCAGCAGCTGATTAAGAACTCATTGGAAAGTCGGTATCCTAATATGACTACAATATCTCGGCATTATGGGGCAGGATGTCTAACATAACAGTCCTTCTTAAGTAACTTTTTACGAATCAAAAGTACGTTTCAGAATTCTGATTAGCATTTCATGTGGTAGTGCATCTACTGTACTTTGGAAAGTTACTACTACTGGGTAGGTTTGCGGATTGCCCTTTAAGCGTGCGTTGTTGTCAAACTCAACGTTTAATATTGCCAGCGTGTGCTTTCATCCGTTTAACCTGTCAGTGTTCGAGTCGGCTGGAATTTTCCCAGAAGCTTTTAGATCATTTCAGTGAGTATATGCGTTTATGGGTTTTTTTTACACTGCTGACATGAGAATTCCAGAAATGGCAACAAAGATGTCGTGCTGAATGCGGACGATTTAAATTTTTTGAAATGACCAAATGCGCTCAGGTTAGCAAACGTAAGAGATCTGGGCCGATACTCTGAGAAGAATGAAATGCTCACCGGATCAAGGGAATAGCTATGTGGACGCTTCGGAGATCTTGGTCGGCTTTCCGTGATTAAAGCATTTAGTGCAAAAATCGACCAGAATTTTGTATACACAGCGCAATAGTTGGCCTTTTGCTGGTCAATTTTTTTCTTTCGCCGCCCCGGCCCTCTGACCGTTGTTTGTGAATGTTGGTGGCCTCCGTGTTGTGTATCGTCACCTCAATCGGAGTTAATTGTGTTTGTGTCCCGTTTTGGGTGAAATAATCGACGGGTCGTGTCTGCTCGGCCTGGAGTTTAAATTTGCCAAGTAGGACAAAACACATATGTGGGTACATATATATTTATATATTTTTTTATATGTATAAATATGTTTTTTTCGCAAATAATAATGGTATTTTGGCGTACGTATACGATCGTGTTTGTTTTGAAAAGTAGCCATCGGAACATGTTACTCAATACGTCATGAACTGCACCAGACTGTCGCACGCTTCGGTGAGCACGTCACATTTTTTAGAATAAATGTGTACTGATATTTATTAGCATTCGAGGAGCAGGTCCTAAAATACGAACCCTTCCTCAGTATTGATAAGAACGGCAACACCCCCTTTTGGTTCCGAAATGGTTAATTAGCGTTGTTTATGAGTCAGAAGCAGATTGTGTAGGGGTTTTTACTATCTAAATGGGGAATATGTGCGTAAAATGACTTTATTGAGATCGGCCAACAAAACCCATCTTTAGGATGGACATTGTTCAGTTTTTATCTTTGAAAACGTAACATATCCAGTACGCGCCTTCTCTTCTTATGTTAAAATTTATCAGTCCATTTATGCAGTGAAAAACATTAATAGAAGCGGTCAGAAAATAAAGCGGTTATAACTTTGAAATTTTCCGCCGGATTTTGAGCCACATCTTTACTATATGTTACTATATTGAAGCCTTATCGTTGGGTCCTACGTTTTGCTATCCTCGCCAGAAACCCAACCAGTTAGAGTTTAAAAAAAACAATTCGAGAACCTGTTGACTCAAACACATGACCTTCTGCCAGTTTCGACAGAGAGCGTACAACATCTTACGTCCGCGTTAATCAATTGCTCTTATCAATACCTGAACAGTCATCAGGCATATCGGGGCTTACTGACGAAGTCACACATTGAGAAGTTAAAGAAGCTCCGGCAGAACAAAGACGTTCTGATAACTAGGCCAGATAAGGGAATCGGCATTGTTTTGATGGACAGGGCAGACTATATTACGAAAATACAGTCAATTCTGTCGGATCAGGAAAAGTTCCGAAAGACAGAGAAGGAGAAGGACCGTACAGATGAGACTGAAGCACGACTGAATGACTGCTTGAAAAGACTTCAGGCGGATGGTTGCATAAGCGAACACGACGTAGAGCGCCTCCGACCCGTCGGTGCGCATATACCTCGATTATTTGGTTTGCCGAAGATATACAAAGATGGCGTACCGGTTCGTCCAATCCTCGATATGAGGAACTCGCCGTACCATGCCATAGGGAAATGGCTGGCGGAGAAACTTAAGCCTCTGCAGTATCATCCAGCGCCACGTAGCTTTCGAAATACTTCTGAATTCATTAACAGCGTGAAAGACTTCGATTTGAACGAAACGGTAATGTTTTCGTTAGATGTCCCGTTCCGTTTTACGAACGTACCGGTAACGGAAACGGTCAACTACTATTGTGATTTCATTGCCGACAGTCAACAGGATATAGGAATGCCAATGAATGCCCTCAAGGAATTGTTATTGAGGTGTACACTGAACGTGCAGTTCCTATTCGACAACAGTCTATATAGGCAGATGTACGGCGTAGCAATGGGCTCACCCATTGGCCCGCTTTTGGCGAATATATTTACGGGAATGTTAGAAGCTTTCCAGCTACGTCATCAGATCAACAGTTTAAGATACTATGGGCGGTACGTGGATGATATATTCGCGATTGCACCAAAATTAAGTGACATCGAAATTCTACTGGATGACATAAATCAGGCACATCCATCAATAAAATTCCCTCTGGAGAAGAACAGTCCGGTTCACTTCCCTTTCTAGATGTGCTTCTGAGTAGAAGACCTGACGGCAGCATTCGACGTAGCGTCTATCGCAAGAAAACATGGTCCGGACAATAGACCCATTTTGGGAGTTTCGTACCGCTAAACCTTAAGCGTAATTTAGTCCGCTGTTTGACAGAAAGAGTGAAAAGAATCTGCTCAGCTGATAGCATTGAGAAAGAGCATAAGATCATAAAAAGCCTCTTTCGCCAAAACGGGTATCCTGATCGATTCATTGCTGAGGACATGGCCGAAAGAGCACAAAAGCCCCTGATGCTGACGGCAAGAAAGAAAACGCTTTTTATCAGGGTCACATTTCAAGGGGATGCACCAAGTGAGCTTTTAAGAAGACGCCTAACCCAAGCTGTAGCACAGACCTTTCCAGCAGCTGACACCCGTGTACTGTTCTCCACCAGTCCCATCCTATACGGAGAGGGTAAGGACGAACTACCAGCTCAGACCACCTCTATGTGTATCTACTCCTTCACCTGCTCCTGTGGGGCAGAATATATTGATCGCCCGAGCCGGCGTTTATTCAAAAGAATGAATGAACATCTCCCAGCATGACTAAGAAAGGGACAAATAAAGACCATCAACAGCTCGATCCTCGCACACATGTTAGACACAGACCACTATGCAGACGCCAGAGAGGCCTTCAGAATGATTTACAAAGTCCCGTCAAGCTATCCAATACTGCTTGGGCAGCGCTTGTTGGCTACGGCAGAAGCGGCTGCAATCAGGCTACGCCGACCGGTCCTATGCGCACAGAAGAACTTCATACAGGTCCCACAGTTACCATGGGTCAAAGCCACCAAACCAACCACACACATGTAATTACCTTCGCCGGGACCCACTTTCTCCCTGGCGCTGACTGGAATTGTGGTGTTTCACTGTCCCTCTCCCCTCCCCTCCACACACCCGAGCTAAAGTTTAATTATCTACTTGCCCATATCTTTTAATTTATTACTTCAATAGTCATATAAATGCACAGGCCTGAAGAGAATTTATCGAAAGCAGGCGTATGCTCGCCAAATTGCCTTTTGAATTTTACAATGAGAATTTTCGCAACTCTATATTTAGCTACTTAAACTGCAACAGTGTTTTGAAATAAATCGGGGTGGTAACACGGCTTTCGGTTTCTGGCTGTAGCCTGAACAATTCTTTAGAATTATCAGTGGACGATTGTCCCCCATAGACTACCAATTTTGCATCATTTTTGTCAATTCCTCAGCGCGTGGGCGCTATTCGCGCCTTTTAAACTTTTTTAAAAATTGGGAAAACTTCATAACATTTCTTACAATTTCGCAGATAATACGGCAAATCATTTTGCTCAGAATACCATTCAAAGATTCTGTTTTACATTTGACAAACAATTAACTGGCAAAAATTCCAGATATGGCCTCTAGCTATACTGCAGATTTCAAAAGCTGTCTGTCAGTGAGTAACAAATCTGTTTTGCTTATGCAAAATTAGAATTTTGCGTACAGCCAACTCAGAGTCTCTGTATATATTTTTAGGGCACAAAACTTTTATTGTTCCCACTTCCGCCTACGTCGTTCGTGTGGCGGTCATCTTCCGCTTGTCCTGATGTGGTTTGTTGGCTTGCAAACAAACTGGCAAAGTATTATGCAACATGTGTTTTCTGGGACTTTCATACCACTCGCCGTAGTAATGCGGCGCTTATTTTTTAGCCAACGAGGATGGCACATGACGATGACCGTGACCGAACCTTGTGACGTAGAAACTAGGCTTTATCAGTCTTTTAACCCACAAATGTGGCCACTTTGACTCAGTTGTGTTTTTGTTTAGAAACAAAAACATTTCAGAAACTCCATAGGCAAAACATTTTATACGTCATGATTACGTTTTTCTACCAGAGAAAGTGGGCTTATATTAAATGATTAAATCGGCGTCACCCGAATTTAGCAGAGCTGAGGAGCCACATTTAACGGATTACTAGCAAATCTGACTTATACACAGTGAACTGAGTAAGTACGAGGACGTGGATCTGCAACATGGCACGCAGCGCATCTCAGTTTAGGAATTTTTTTGGGATCGCATAGGCGTATTATTGTCATCCATTAGCATAAAGGGCAGACATGCCACATGCATTGGACGGCAACGTTTTCTTTCAATTTGGGCAAGTCAGATGATATGATTCTTCCTTCAGTACGTACAGTAAGTTACCGATCTCGTGAAATGTTGGCTGACATTCCAAAATGCGTTTTCGATTAGGAAGGATTACTTGGTCGCGGTTGAAATAATGATTGTCTTGCTGCATAATCCGTTAATATTTCGGTTTTGGCAGGATGTCGTCTTTTAAATGGACTTCTTTTCAATCTCCCTTAAAGACCGTACTCAGTAAAAATGACTACTTAAGTAGCATGCACTTTTCCCATTGATTTTCGGTGGTTTCGCAAATTCAAATATATTTCATAGAAACCATAAACAATATATGCTTTCTTTCAGTCAATTAATAGAGAATCACGTCTACTCTATATTTTATGCTCAAGGCAGGAGTATAATTATGTTTCAAAAAAGTTTTAATTATTAGATTTTTAAGACCGCGAAATGCCCATTCACGTATCATCGTACCGGTCGTTTACCACAGCTTCCCGTGAAATGTACAACATAGTTTGCATCCGTTGCGAAATTTTTTGGACTCTGTATGGTAGCCTTTTATGGCATAGAAAAATATGTGATTTTCTTTACGTTGGGCGCATGCACCTTGTAGACTGAAATCACTAAGCACTAATGTAGCGAATGTTCAGGCTTCAAATCATTCCGTACTTAGAAAACTTTTTTTAAAATCAAATTATACTCCTTCCTTGAGTATAAAATATGAAGAAGACGTGATCCCCTATTATTGACTGAAAGAAAGCATATTTTTGTTTATGGTTTTTATAAGATATATTTGAATTTAGAAGACCATCGAAAATCAATACGAAAAATCCATGCTACTTAAGTTGTCATTTTTTGCCAAATAAAGTTTCCACAGGAGATTAAAAGGAAGTCCATTTAAAAGACGACATCATGTCAAGTCCGAAAAAATAAAAGGATTATGCCGCGAGCTAAGCAGTATTACAAACGTGTCCAAGTAATCCTTCTTATCGAAAACACATTTTAGAATTTCAGCCAACATTTCATGCGATTGGTCACTCACTGTATCTTAGCATTTACTGTTTTTTTCGTTTTAATTGGCCTGTTTCGGATATGCCGTTCAAAATAGTAATCATTAGGAATAACAATAACGTGGGTAAGATCCCTTTGCCTAGACCTCTAAAACGGAGAATAATTCGGCGCGAGACGTGTCGATTTTGCATTTACCAAATGAATTGTGTTGTCGCTTATGTCACAACCAGTCGCTTGTGGACTATACCAGAGAACTTGACTTATTTTTTTGCATCTGGTTACCAGGTCAGATTTTTCCGCCTGACCTTCGTTTACATAAACCTGGACGAACTTAAACACATGAGAATTCATCGCCAGGCAGAGGCTTTATCGGCCAGCAAATTGTACATGCTTGTGCCAGTTAGCTGGATGCCTGCGTCAGGATTTGTATTCTCATGTAAGGATCTAAATGATTAACAGACGGTTAGACTGGATTTCGAAAATCGGTCACTGCAGTTGCTACATTTTATGTACAACCACCTATTTATTTTCGAGTAAGTAATTCGGAAAGGATTTCAAACCCAGCAAAGACGAATCGTAGACTGTGAATAGGCTTTTTTCCTGGACTTCCTAAACGAGAATAATTAGATAAATTATACAGTAGATGTGCTTAATCATGAAATGTCAACCAAAATTTCGAAATGCGTTCTCGTTTCCAAAAGATAACTTAAGTGGTTTTGTTAAACTAATCATGATGCAGCATAAATCTATAATGATCCAGTTACCCCGAGGTGTCAGCTTTCGAAAAAACTCATATTCGGTTGAATGCAAGATCAATACTCTGTAAAAAATGACAACGAAAATAGCATGCAATTTTTTCATTGATTTTCGATGCCCTTGAAAATTCAATTATATTTCATGGAAAACGTGCATAGAAATATTCAGTCTTTTACTTATTCGGCAGAAAATCACGTCTTCTTCCAATTTCATGCACAAAAGAAGAGTATAATTCGGTTTTAAAAAACGTTTCTAATTCCCGAATCATTTTGAACCCAACCTGCTGTTACACTTGCATTCACGGTTTCAAAACTACAAGCTGTATATTTTCCATGTACGGAAAACCATGCATTTCTCTACGCTGTTAAAAGGAGAACATATGAGGTTCATAAAATTAAGCAGTGGATTTGAGCAATATTGTTAACTTTACAAGCCACATTCGTAAATGCAGATACATGACGTTTCATGAACCGCCATTTAACGGTATTAAAAAATCTCACAATTAGAAACTTTTTTAAAACCGAATTATACTCTTCTTTTGAGTAAGAAATTGGAAGAAGACGTGATTTTCTACCGAATAAATAAAAGACGGAATATTTCTATGCACGTTTTCCATGAAATATAATTGAATTTTCAAGGGCATCGAAAATCAATGAGAAAATTGCATGCTAGTTTAGTTGTCATTTTTTGCAGAGTATAGATCTTGCATGCAGCCAAAAATAAGTTCTTTCGAAGGCCGACATCCTGAGGTAACTGGATCATTATAGATTTATGCTGCATCATGATTAGTTTTACAACACTACTTATTTTATCTTTTCGAAACGAGAACGCATTTCGAAATTTTGGTTGACATTTCATGAGTTAACACATCTACTGTATATTCATGAAGGAAGAATGAACGCGGACTGCAAAAGAACTGATTGAAATCAGTAACACCTTAGTACCTCTAAATTTGGCTGTTTTTCGTCTTAATCAGGGGGCATGATAAAAAGGACGTGCGACGCACTGAAACGCTTACCGAGGTGCCGAAAACTTCAGGATAAAACGCATGTAAAGTCTTTTTGCTATTTAGTGCGTTGTAGAACCATGATTAAGCTACGGCTGAGTGCAGGCATGTCGTAAATACCAATGTTCTCACCATCTAACGAGTTATATCTCACGAGCTCCTAGTCTTAAAAGCAGCAAGTAAATGGTGATACCGCTGTCGGTCAGACACAGAATTAAGTTGGAGAATCTCTGCCTTTAACGTGGAGTAGTGTGCATCTGCAGGAGGATTAGCCAGCAAGGACAAAACTTGAGAGATAACACTAGCCGGGAGAAGCTCCGCCAATTTGTGGTATTTTGCCAACTCCTTAGTAACGTCAGCAGAATAAAAGGCTAATTCTATGCGGATGAAGTAAAGTTCTGGAGCGTGTTGCCAGAATTCAGGCAAGGTAAAATTGATGGAATTGATGGACTGGGCGGAGGCACCAAGTTGTTGGTTGGAGTGAGACATATAAGACAGATATGGTAAAAATATCAGAATTCTTGAAAACAGTAGACGTAAATGAAATAGAAATTCACAAACAAATAGTACGTTAAATGTTATTCGGTGTGACAGAAAGACATAAAGTCTGCCTTAACGTCGGGAGTCACCAATGGTGCCCAACGTGGGACTCGAACCCACGACCCCGAGATTAAGAGTCTCGTGCTCTACCGACTGAGCTAGCGGGGTGGGTTGCAGAGGTGTGCCGTTTTCCGCCACATTCAAACAAGCAATGCGGGTAAACAAAACAGGACTAAATTGTCAAAGATAAATTACTCCGGTACCTCACAGCAGGCATGCTACTGGCAGACTTACGACTTGCTCGCAGTCACTTAGAATAAATTAGCAGAAGTTATGTAAGATAGTCAACCAGGATAATAATCCAGCATTCAAAGGCCTAGCCCAATGCATGTGCCCCCCCCCCCTCGCGAATTTGGCAGATATTACAGCACTGAAAGGAGAAATATTTGTTAAAAATAGCGCGGTTATTCGTTGTGACCCAATGAGGAGTCGCAGAGTTCGCTTCCTGCTACCACCCGGATTTTAATAAAGGTTAACTTTTTCCGTACAGTCTCGTTTTATCACAGAACGACTGCAACTCTTGGCTGAGACAATTTTTTCATGGTTGTTCCTGTGTAATTAACTGAGACATTACTCCCAATTGTGCAATTTTCCAGCAGAATTTGCCTCCATTTGGAATGAAAGCTTATTTCCTCTCACCCGCTTACAACGAAAATTAAAATAAATTAACGATCCTGCATATAACCAATCACAAACATATATTTCGGGAATTGTTACAACAGTATTTTATCCTTCAGGAAGATTTTAAGGTGCAATGAAAAACAAACTGTTGTTGCCAGTCGCTGTCTATCTCTGTATATAATAATTTGGATGAGTACCATTTTGAAGTGAGACAAACTGCTGTCGACAAGATCGTTTAGTCATAGATGTAAGAGCGGAAATCGTTTAAGCGGATTTGGCTTTTGAGTCACCACTGCCACATTTCTGATTCTCACAAATCGGAGCACGTATAATATGCTCTCCAGCTGACGTGAAAGTAAGAACAAGTTCATATCTACTTTCAACCGTAACTATAGTTTTCTCTCGAAGAAAAATTGGCGGCATAAATTTGGGGATATTTTCCAACAACACAAATAGCTCACAATGTAATATACCCAGCATACTATTTTTATTTCAAAAATGAGAATTAACTTTCGATATGACAGATATGCGTTCCGAGAATGGCTGAAAGCAACCGGGACCTAACAGCATCCGCCATTGATATCTGGTTATTTCCGATGGTCTGAATGCAGATATGTCTACAGTGGTCCAATTAGTAGGCTCTTATGCTGACTTTAACTTTCGCACATTGCACAGAAGAAAGCGTTTGAGATGGAGACATTAACGTTCGCGCAAGGCCGTGGTATTTGCCATCTCCAGCATCCATATACGCTGTTAAGAAATGCGTTAAATTCCGCAGTTTTTTTCATAAACCCAGACCAACCTTACCTTTCATGTTCGGGTCGACCTTAACGCCCTTGCTTAAAGCGCATCTTCCTCCTTATCCGCTTTCCCCGTTACTTGGGCTCAGGTTGCGCTTACTTTTCGTCCCTGTCCCTTTCAGACATGGCTTCCCTCTTTAGTTCCGCTTTCTGTCGCCGTCCCATCTTATATACCCCTGAGCTGGTTCGCACCTTTCATGATTTTTTCAACTGTGGTCCTGTTGTGAAGGGGGTCTGACGCCGCAGATGTGACGATGTAGCTGTCCGCTTTTTCCGCTAATGCGCAAAAACAGCCCCTTTGATTACTCTGGAAACAAAAAATACACCTTCGCACATTCCAGTTTCTTCTTTTTGTATATTTGGAGCGGCACAATGCTTTCAATTTCATTTTCAGTTGCTGAAGTCAAACTTCCTTAGATTATTAAAAAAAATGCGCAAAATTCGACAAAAAAGTCTATGGGGAGTTTGAACGTGGACCCTGCTTATTAACGACCGCTTCATGAACCAAAAAAACGCCCGTTGCCTAAAATTTGAAATGCTATTCTGCAAATCCGTGATTTGTTCAGAAATTCCTGCTCACTTAGAGCAGATTAGACACTATTATAGACGTCTAATGTACTTTTCATCCAAACTCCTTTTAAGCTACTGCCAACGGATATTTAGTACCCAGTCTTCCTGTCAGCGTTGATAAGGACTTTATTGTATTAATGGCATTCTGTGCAGAAATAGAACAATTGGACGTATGCCGCAGGACGACGTGCCGTTGTTACAACGAAGTCTCTGTGACATTTCGAAAGTTGACAAAATGGCAATACCAAATTTTTGTCAATAAACACCGCGAGGATATTGGTCGACGCATATTTCACATCCGTGTTCAAATGGAAACTGACTATTCCCCTCTGAAAACGCTTCCATCATTAGGACATTTAGGGGTCAACGGGCATCTTTCATGTTTAGTCAAAACTTTGTGAATGGCAGGGCAATTGAAACACCATATAGACTGTCAATTAGGACAGTCGCATTCCCTTAGTAATCAGGGTATAATTTCGCGGGGTGTTTTAGTTCGGTGGGCTGTTTCTATAAATATGTTCCGCAGAGGCACCTTAATGTGGGGCTTAATGAAATGCTATTAGTGGCAAAAGAACGGAAAGCCGAATCAAATTTAAAATTAAATTCACAGTCAGTTTTTAAGTTACAAATTCAGAAAGAAAACATGCATGCAGTCAGTATAGACTGAACATCACTCGCATAGTATGGAATATTATATTCTGAATGTTTCCAGAAATGCTCCCTATTGTCGGTTTCGCATACTTTTCAAACTTGCCGTATGAATAACACTTTTGGCTTGCAAAACGTGCGTCTGAGCACGACGCATGTTCTTCTTAGTAGTAGCCATTACAAGTTTTGTACAAACCATAAATACCGTTGAACTAAAGCTCTGCTGGATGGGTCAGACATGGGAATAGAAATCTCCAAGTGAAACAGTTGTTCGTCAACCAAAGTTTGGGCAGTGCGCTCATCCCAGTGTCCCAATCATAACCATCACCCTGCCTTAAAATTAACTCTAGCGCCAGATTTTACCTCAACGTTAATCTCCCTTGAACTTGTCGCAGGCGCAGCTGTCCCTCTACTCATGTCCTACTGACAGTTCGACCGTCATGGCCGACGATGTAAACTTTGCGCTCCACCGAAAGGTGAAGCAAGTACGGTGACTTCTGTGCGAATTAGTTTATAGTTGGGGTAGACCTGCGCAGGTTCTACCTCAATCTCCCCTCCTCTCCGTCTAGACTCGCGTCAAGAAGTAGTTACGAAAACTGGAGGTCTGTTGAGGAAACGTTTTAGGCGGAGACCATGGGACGCCCACGTCTATTATTCACGATGGCATCTGCTATGCCATAATCAGCAAACCATGGCTCTCGTAACATGGTGCGCATTGGAATTTCTCTGGCACCTGGATCCCTATCGGTAGATGCGTCTGCGCTCCCGCTGCCTATACAGGCTTCCCAGTCATCCTCGTTGTCTTTCTAACCCATTAAGATGTTGTCGCTGTTAGTAAAAATCCTGGTCACCGTGTTTGCTGTGGGCCAGGGGACGTCGTGTGACGCCTAGGTGGGGGTCCGGGCGTGCCAGTCACCTGCGCCCTCTCGCGTCTTCGGTCTTATTGACTATGTTGTGACACCGGACCCCTGTGGGGCAGGAGTAGGGAGTGTGGTAGATGCCGTGCAAGTCTGTTACCACTAGAAACGGCTTCATGCACAAGTCATTCTTCCTGCTGTGGAGCACACGGTGGACATCGTCGGGTAAGACTCTCGAACCATCCCGTATACGCACAGTAATTCAACCGACTTCCATCCAATAGGCATCATATATGATAACAGTAACAATAGTGTATTATGTAACGGGTGCGAAGAAGGGTCTAACGTTATCAAAATGAGTCAACTAGCAGTTGTTCGATAGGCGGGTTGCCGGAATTGAAAAGGGTTTTCATGGGTAGAATTTACACAGGCTCAGGCAAAGAGGGGAAGCATTGTCCTTCACTAGAGAAAAAACCATCAGGGAGGGAAGACGCTAAGCTAAATATTACCTCTCACTCTTCTCCATAGATTCCTCATACCCTTTCATTTAAATCAAAATGGTAATGTCGTCTTCTACAATGCGATTGTCGTGACATTTAAGTCCGTTTTGTTTTTATCAGTTACAATACGCTTTGACACAACTTTGTATAAGGCAAAGAACACGCACGTGGACTTTTACCTGCTGACGACTTTGTTCTTATTTACTAGTTTGTAACCGTTGGGATACTGCTATTTTCGTTTCCCGGATAGCCTACTTACCGTGCCCAAATAATGGCTTTATCACTTACACGATCTTTGAAGGAAGCGGCACGCGCAGGCCGCTCTTGCTGCAAATTTGAAATGCGCAATACATAATGGCTTGACTAAAATAATTTTTGTTTCGATCAAAATTACTTATTCAAAGTACTTACAGATTATATACGAAGTTTATCGGATTTCACGTTCACCTTTTCAGGGATGACAGTTCGGTCGTCGTGACCAACGATGTCCAACGTGTTTCCCCACAGCAGGTTGAGAGCAGGCACGGTGACTTGTGCGTGAACTAATTTATAGTGGTTACAGACTTGCACAGCATATACCACACTCCCTCCTCCTCGTCCCACACAGGGGTCCGGTGTCAAAACATAGTCAAGAAGACCGAGGACGCAATAGAATGCAGGTGACTGGCATGCCCCGACCCACACCTGGGCGTCTCACCAGGTCCCCTGGCCCACAGCAAACACGTGACCAGGATTTCTACTAACCGCAGCACCTTAATGGATCAGAAAGACAATGAGGATGAGTGGGCAGCCATGTTCACGACCTTTATGGCTAACAGGAGCGTAAACGCATCTACCGGCAAGGAACCAGGTGTTAGAGAACTTTCAGTGCACACCATGCTGTGAGAGCCATGGTTTGCTGAGCAATGCATAGCAGATGCTTACATATCTTAAGGCCCGTGTTCTACTGGTGATCGACTGTCCCGCATAGGCTCACCTACAATAAAACTGCTGTATTGAGATCCAAAGAAGTGTTTCAGTGCCATTCAGCATTTCCGATAGAAACGAACAGGCGAGTTTCAGGAAGCACTTCAAAATGCAAAGATGTAATAATTGAAACAAGAAATTTATTGGACTGACGTTTTGGATTCTTACTCGTACCTATCACCAAAGACGGTTGCAGCTGTGTACTAAACATACTGCATTCCTTGTGCTACCACTACCCTTATCTGCGACTGTCTCTGATTATGGGTTAGAATGAGAATTCGCAACCTCAGGCCAATAAATTCCTGGTTCCAGTGGTAGCATTTTCGTCGTCTAACTTCAACACTCGCAGTTTCCTCGGAGTAATCTTCCCAGAGAAGTGGGTATTGGTAATCTCATTTCTAAAAAGGGTCAAAATATTTAGCTCTCATGTCAATTTTCTTGACGGCTTGCGTAATCGTAGAAAAGAAAAATAAGGTCGCGTTCCGCATTAACACATCTGGCATGCTGTTACGATCCACTGGTCATCCTCTTAATAATTTATGGACCACGTAAAGCTGTTTGAGTTTTAGAGTGAATGTCCGCTACGTAACAGTAACGAAAGTTTACTCCAATGACGGCGGCATGCCACAAAGTAACGCTTGACTGCCCGACACAAACAGCTATGGCGCAAATAAATATTCTAACAGTTCTAACTAACCGATGGCGTCTTACGTTTCGGTAACAGTCTCCCAAATGCAACCACTGCATGTCGCCGCTAAAGGATGGGAAAAACACAACTGAAGTAGGCGGCAAAAGCATGTTAACACTGCCTCTGGTGTCCGTGTAGTTTCAGTTTCGGTTTATTTAGGGAAATATAAGCGAGACCCCTTGAACTCCCCACTGGTTACAAGTCGTCGGAGGAAAGAATTGATGCGAGAAGTTGAAAAATATTTTGTACGTTATTGCGGACAGCTGACAGTCACTCGTAAAAGATTAATAATTAACGTTTACTTACTAATCACAAGTAGTATAAACACGTATACTTTGTGCCAGGTTGTGTGAGTGTATGGGATGTTGGTAATTGGGAAGCATGACACGCGTCAGGTCTGCATTTAAAGGAATTCACACAGGAGGAGATTACAACATCGGTAGGCAGGGCATTCCACGCTGGAACCACTTACCACTGAAAAAGAACTCTCGTCCATTGATTCTTGCTTTCCCCGTGCGTAGTTTTAGGGGATGACCGGGCTAAGTGTTGACTTGAGTGAAATAATCACTGGGAACTAAACAGCGATCTAGGCCGTTTATAATGCGCAATGTTAGTATAAGATCCCCACATGATTGCCTATTGATTGAGAGTTGATAGTCTGGTTTCGTAGAGGAATACTCCTAGACCATTTGTCATTTTGGTCACCCGTCTCTGGACCCCCTCCAAGACGGTATAGTCCTTGGCAGTCCAAGGTCTCCACGCCTTTATGGCGTATTCTAGGTGAGGCCGCACATACGTGCCAAATATTTCGGAAAAGCAGTCAGGGTCAAATCCCATAAAGGCTCGCTTAATGAGTTGTAATGTATCCATAGCCGATTTAGCCGCCTTCGCGCAATGCAGTCTTGGTTTAAGTGAAGATGTAATCTATACACCAAAGTCCTTCTGATTGTCAACCTGTTGCAGTGGTGTGCCGTCTAGGAAGTAAGTCCTGGGGCTGAAAGCTCTGAAGTTGCCGATTTGAAGAAAATTGCACTTGCTTATATTGAAGGGCATAGGTCAACGCTTCGACCAGTCTTCGAGCCTGTTCAAGTTTGCTTGAAAGTGGTCTGCGTTTGCAACACTGCAAGTGACTCCACAATTTTATGCCGTCGGAAACAGGATGGCATCACAGTCTCGGTACCTGACACCGTCATTTATGAAAACGAGGCATAACTGGGGGCCTAGGACTGAGCCCCGTGGGAAGCCACTCACCACGCTTACCTCTGAGGACTCCTGACGCCAGAGCTGCACTCTTGGGAACCGTCCGGTAAAAAAGCTCTGGGTCCATACAAGAAGGCGTCCACGAATGCAAGTGTTGCGCAGTTTGTACAATAGACGTTTGTTAGGAACGCTATCGAGGGCCTGTGTGAAATCAACGTAGATGGCGTGCACCACATTGCCTTCATTGCGTGCTTTGCTTCAGCGTTGGAGCTTAAAGACGGGATTCGTGAGACCACTTCGAAAGCCGCGTTGGGCATCGTAAAAGAGATAATGCTGCTCGAGGGACCGCCTCAAGTCCTTCTTAATGATCTTCTCCATGGTTTTGCAGCAGAGGGGGATAGGCTTCACTTGCCTGTAGTTATTCGCAGACGCGGGACCTCCACCTTTAAAAAGCGGAGTGATTGTAGCGGACTTCCAATCAGAGAGCAGGCGCCCACTAACAAATGACGTTCGAAAGAGCAATGCTAACAGCTCCTTCAGCAGCTTGGCCGAGATGGCATCAGGGCCTGGGGAGGTCGATTCTTTCAGGTTTAGCAACTCTTTCTGATTGTTTCGGTGGAGAAGACAGCTTCGAGGGTAGGCGCGCGTTTAGTAGCACTGCCGTAGTACTGTCTGCTTGAATTTTCATTGAATACAAGTTTCTTGATTTTCTTCAATTAGATCGGCCAAACGACACCCCAAGCATGCTGACCTTCGATCAGGCGTATAAACAGATTGTCCTTGTAGAGCTGCAGCTCAATTTTTCTACTTAAAATAGCTGCGATCGCATGCTAGTGAGGGTAGGTGTGAGCGAAACGTCCTCAGTTGCCTCCATGTCAGATTTACTTCCCTCGGCCTTCTCTAGTATTTCGAGCTGCATACTGATTAAGCGACTCAATGCACCCCCTTATTTAGTCTTCATAATGTTCTGATTATTCAAAGAGTCGCTTGCCATCACTCAGCTGTTGTGTCAGTGTCACCAATGCAACAATATACGCCGCCTAGGCGCGGCTCTCGTCGCGCCAGCCACCTGCGTCCACTCCCACCTCCGATATTCTTGACTATGTCTTGACAAAGCTCCCAGGTCGGGAATAAGAGGGCGCCGTAGATGCGACTTAAGTCTAATAATTCCGCTGAGGTCACCATCCCTGTTCTTACTCTGCTGCGGAGCACACGGTGGACATCGTCGAAGTCGATGGCCGAACTGTCATCACACTACACTGTCCTGGCACCCCAAACGGTGAATAAATGTAACTGACCTCCCTGGCAAATCAGCATCGCTTCCGCTTCTTAGATTTTCGATAAAACCCCATGTGGGTTTCTTGGAATATATTACTCCACAAGTCCGCGTAGTTGCACAGAGTCTTGCTGTCTGTTTTCATAGATATTTCTCATAAATTCAGGCCGTCATCTATAGCACGCATTATCCACTAGCCTATTTGTATTGATTGCACTAACTCATTGGTAATTGCTGGCAAGGCCTTCATTTCAATGGTCGTTTTATTTGCTTCGAGGATCAAGCTCCCCATGAAGACTCCTTCTGCAAATCTGTGTGGCCTTATGCCATACGCTGAATCCATTGCAGTTTGGACGGACGTGCAGCCGGCATCTCCGCCGTCGATTTCGATGACGTTTACCGTGGGCTTCACAGCAGGGTGCAAGCGGGAACAGTGAATTTCGTAGGAATTATTTTAAAACTTTATTTCGGTTTATCGATATGAATAGGGTGCTCAAGGGCGAAAGCCTCATTCCCTTAATAAACTGACTTAAACTGACTAAAACGATAGTAGACTGGTGTGCCGTCCACCGTGGTAACTCCTCCTTCTCCTTCTGGGTCTTGTATCATGGCCAAGTTCGGCAGGTGTTATTGGAGGTGTGGGGTTGCCAACATTGAGGGTGCGGTGGCGAGCACAAGCGCAGGCCCACGTCATGCCAGTTTCGATTACAGCCTCTCCGCTCATTTTTACGTGCAAAATCCTGATCAGTTGCATACCGTGGACCAGGGGGTGTGGTGGTACGCTTAGGTGCGGATTTTCGCCGCGCCGGCTACCTGTGTCGTGTCCTGCATCCAAACTTCTTGATCCTGCTAGAGACCGGATCCAGATGTGGGGGAGGAAGGATTGCGGTAGATACAGCGAAAGCTTACCACCACTATAAAGGAATTCACGCACATGTCACCGTTCCTGTTCCCACCCTGCTGTAGGGCACACGCCTGACATCGTCGGAAATTACTTTTGGACTGTCGGTGGTTGTGATGATGGTGATGATGATGATGATGATGATGATGATGATGATGATGATGATGATGATGATGATGATGATGATGATGATGATGATGATGATGATGATGATGATGATGATGATGATGATGATGCCATTCGGTTCTAGACAGGATCGACCATGTGTCACGCGAGGGACGGCTGCAACCGTACTGTCCATCTTTATATTCAAAGTCTCCTTGCGCCCTTGCCATTTACTTGCGAGTGCAATAAATGTGTGTAGAACGGACCATACCTGCTTCTTCGCTGAAATTCCCAAAAGCAGCTGTCATCATGTTTTGGTTTTTGTGCATGCCTTTCGACCTCCTCGTGGCCTCTCAGAGCTTCTACAGTTTTATGACAGAGTCTCCCCTTCATCTACGCTGTCACTGAAAATACATGTCAGTCAGTATCTACACCGGTGAACACAAAGAGCTCTTTGCTCTTTTTCGAAGCTTGTACCCATTGCTTCCTTAAATGCATTGATAGCTCTCATTCACACGAATTATTAAACTACCTGGTTGATTCGGTAGGAATCTACGCATTGGTACCCGAAAACGCCTCCCGATCCCCCCTGCAAAGGTACTTATATGACTACTTGTTGTGCGATAATCTTGCTAACATTCCGGACCGCATTCCTCAACGCTTACTTACCCCCTCATTTTCTCCACAACCACCTCTCGGATTCTCATCTCAGCAATTGCCTACTGAGCCATACTCCGTCTTCCGTTTCAGAGACTTAACTATGTGCCTTTCCGGATTGTCATTTGGGACGCAGATACCTTCCTCACCAAACACGGCGACAGAAATGCTGCCGACAGTCCCGGACTGTCGTCCCCAGACGTGCATCTTCGTCCCTCCCCCCGGTGTTTTCCATGTACCCCAATTTTGGCCTGACAATCTGCAGCGCAAAGGACGTGGAAATAATTTTGACATGTGAGTTCAGCAATCTCGGCAGAAACAGGCTTCCATTCGCACATTGAGATTGTTCAAAAAACGCCTACTGAAATGAAGGCAGTAGAGCAACAATTAAAGATTAGTCGTACAGCTGGCGAATGGCGCTTACCAGAACGCCACGCAGACCATTCCCTGAGGCAATCGCTTATCAGACAGTCTCAGATCAGAACTAATCGAACTCATTTCGCCCTACTCTGCTTTGAGAAGTTATTTGAAATCTGCCGTTAGACAAAAGCCTGTGCTCGCTCCGGCGGAGATTTCAATAATCCGGCCCGATCATGGAACGAAGTATTAGTTAAGATTTATATTTCATCACCTATCTAGATAATCCTTCACATTATTGCAACTAATTGGTGGCAAGAAAAAATTATCGACAGAGAATAATAGAGCTATGATAACGCAATCCCCGATCACGTTAATACATCGTGAAACGAGATTCCGGTTTCGAATCTCGACGTCAACTTCAGCGTTTGGATGAGATTAATTAACATCTTCCACATTCCTTCTCGAGGTCAAGGCCGTGGATGCTTGCTGTCGGTTAAAAAACTATATTTAACTACAATTCAAGATGCGAGAACTTTCGCGGTATAAGTCTCATCTGCGTTGCCTCGAACAAGTTCGCTGACATTCTTTTCAGGCGACTTCAGCGCGTGCGTGACTCTAGAACGAGACCCAACCAGGCCGTAATCCGAAAGAGACGAGGAAGCGCGGACAAAACATTTGCACTGCGGCCAATTCGTGAGTTCCGCCATGGCTATCAGCAACCGACAGCCGTCTGTTTTGTTTGCTTGGCGGCTGCGTTTGATTCCCTCCATCGTCAGTCCCTGTGACGGATAATGGAACTAGGTGAAACGTCGGCAAAAACCATCGCCATCAAGGCCTACTATCGTCCCACCACTAAGTGAGCTTGGGCCCGCGAAATTATTCCAACTGTTGGGTCGGACGTTCGAGAAAATTGTATTCCGTCGCCAATTCTGTCCCACTGGGTCACTGACTGTCGAGTTTGCAGCCCGGCGCCGACTGACTGAGTTCTATTACGCTGACCGCATCGCCCTGCTAGTCTCAAGACTTGGCGATCCACAGTCTGTGATGCGAGAAGTGAATTAAGTCGCTAAATCCGCCAACTTGTCCATAAACCCTCGGACGGTCAGTTTCTTCTAGCTGCATGTTTGACCACAAGAAGGCAGCGCACGGGATTAGAGGCTGTTAAGTTGAAAAAGTGGGCAGTTTCAAATACTCAGGTTGACAAAGTTAAGAGAACCAGGTTGATAATATGATAAATGAGAAGAGTGAGCGCTTCTTTCTTCTCGAGTTTCAAATGTCTCAGGGCAGGGCCTACAAATGGACAGATTAAGGACGACACTATCTCTCAAATCGACGCTGCTCGCAGGATTTTCACAATCTTCACAAATTGCCTATGGGCCCGACGCGACATCTCCACTGTTCACTCAGTCCTCCTCTACGACTGAGTGCTGTGCTGTGCGCGTGAAAGATAAACGAGTGGCTGGAGGTGCTTAACCATCCTTCGGGCAGAGTACACCGACTTCATCCCAAATTAGGCAGCGTGCACTCGCTACAACAACATCGGAAGAATATCTGAGGCCACCGCAGAATGACGGCTATGGTGATTTGGGCACGTTCGTCGTCGTTCGCTTCAGGGGCTTAGTGTTGCTGTCCTCGACACGCGCTGTTGCCCATCTGGAGGCCTCGTAGGAGAGGCCAACTCAAAACCTGACACATGACAGTTAGTCAGGGCATGGCAATAGTTCTTTGACCTTCGGTATGCGGTCTCCGTCGCTGGTGGGAATAGACCGAGCTGTCCGGATGTGTCACGCGTAGAAGTGTACAATCTCCACGACTTCATCAATGCTGGTTAAACCAGGTGTGATCACAGCTGTATCAGCAACAAAAACAGCAATGCGCTGATTGGTTGCAGACTGGCACGACTGAGGCGCATGGAGGCACCTCGCATCGCGACCGGCAACGCCAACGGTTAGTCCTCGGCATAGTGAGACAACGGAAGCTATCAGCCTATAACTTCACTGAACACTCCCTGCCGCAGTAATGACTGGCCTACCGGTTCTGTCACTTTGGCGTTTGATTTGGGAAACCTATCATTAATGGCTAGCGCACTCCCGATGAGGCAATCGGAGGTCCGCACATCTCAAAGTCTACAGAGTCGCTAAGGCAGATGTGCTAACACTTCGGTTACATACATATATGCAGAAATAAGAGACGCCTCAGGCCGACCCTCACACGGGTACTGGCTTGCAAACATTCTTATCAGCAAATGCCTCCAACACACATCCAGGCAAGTACAATTTCACAGTGGGTTTTATACCAAACTAACAACTACAGAAGTAGGTTCCAGAGCACCCATGTTGCGGAGACAGGAGAGGGTCCGTGTGGTGCAGATGTGGAGAGGCGTACTTACCGTACACCGACCAAGCATGAAATAAGTGTGGCGGGCTTGTAAAGTTCGTAGAAATTCAGATGCCAGTTGCTCGAAACGTCTCGTGCTCTATTCAGTCCGCGATGACTTCCAACCAACATCAGAAATCGAAAGCACAGCATATATGTGAATGGTCTGCCTACGAGGTCTGACCGCCGGATAACTGGTGAAAGTCAAAAGAAGACCAATCGGAACAGTGCCACCAGCTAGACCTCATCTGTAGACTATCTGCGGATGCACTGGTGGTGGGAATACCCAGTAACAAACGGTGGCTGGTTGGATGTTGGCCGCTCGAAATTTAAACTGCATTAGAGTGTTATTGACATTGGCCGTTTGCTGACCCATTTAACTTTGGCAGGTCAGGTACTGATTGTAGTCTCAGCTGTGGACGGAGCGTGAAAAAGGTAGCTCTTACAGGGATTTAAATATGGATGCAGATCCTGGTTTCTCTGGAGCAGGAACTGTCACTGATGTGGGCTCCAGGAGTGAATCTGAAACGTCGGATATGCAAAACTCCTGTCCTGGCCAAAGTACTTCGTTCCTCTGGGAGTTGGTGTTTTGTTGGTGATCCACTGAGCCCAAGGTCTTCTTCAGTCCTTGGAATCAGTCTTGTCAAGTAAATACTGCCTAGATAGAACGAAAAATGCAAGAGGGGCGAGGGATGACACATTTCAATCCCCTCACACCGTAGGGTGGAACGTGCGCAAGTCAACACTGTTGATCACTTGACTAAGGTCAACGCTGAAATCGAAAGGCGAGCCGCTGTTCTCTCTCACTGATCGAAGATGATGGTGGGGCGGGAGGGGTGACGCATCGTATGCCTTCTCATCGTAAATTAGAACGTCCACTAGTCACCACTGCCCTTTCACATAGAGCTGTTGTCCGCTTTACCCCATCGACCATGCTGGTGGGTGTCGAGAAGGCCGACTAAAGATAGGACGAGCAGCATTAGACAAGCAATGTCTCGGCATGCATTTTGCTTGATTGACCTGTGGCCTGTCAAGTGATCGGCCGGCGGTGGTTGTTTCCACAGGATACTTGCGTTTTCACACCTTACGAAGGTTGTAGGATAGACAAGAAAAAAACTTTTCTCGAGTACAGGGCCCAACTACGCAGCCTGGCATTTGTCATCGCCGACGCTAAGAGTCCGACAGTTCTGAGTGCGTAGTCTAGTGAATCAAGGTTTGGATGGAGCCGTTGAAGTCAGGAAACGGACAAGTCAGCTGCGGGTTACAGTTCATTAAAACAACAGCAGTCGCGAGCAGGTTTTATGGACCTGAGCCAACAATTGTTGTCCTACATGGGGGTGTGGCATAACTAGACGTGGGCCTCCACGCACCGTCATCCACTGCACTCAGTCGCAACATCAACTGGTTGACACAGTTGGCATTGGATGACACTCCCCACAGCACATGAGCTCCTTCCTTACTAATAATCAATCTGACACACCTGAATATAGCATAACGCGGCTTGGAAACCTGCTTACTGGCGGGATAAGTAGGTCCTTCTCAGGACGCGGAGAGTCCGGCCTAAGGTGGCCTCATGTGAGATCTGAGACACTCTCATGGAGGCCTCGTAGAGGCCGCGGGGACCAGGTGGTCTGTGACACACCTCCGTCACTGCGCCTGAGTCCAATGACTTTACATTTTCATTGCGGCCACGTAGGTCATGGAGGGGAGGAGTGTGGTAGATGCTGCGCAGACCTGCGTCACCATAACCGA